GCCCGTGCCACCTTTTGGGTGGCTTAATCTTCATCAATCATCAATACCTAAAGCCTCTAGTACGCATAGCATTTCAGCCAAAAACCGAACTAACAACTTTTAATAACATTTCATTGCAGTAGATTGATTAAGAAAAGAACCATGGAGTCAAAATCCATCACTCTCTGAAAGTTGCACAGGAGGTTAGGGGTCTCGTAGCCTGGTGGATAGCGCACAGGACTCATAATTCTGTGGCGCGGGTTCGATTCCCGCATGAGGCAGAAACAAATGGGCAAAGTTTCTTTCACCCTGAATGCCCCTGTTACCTAGCAGTAAATAGGTACCTGGGAGTTAGTCAGCTGTCACGGGCTGCTTCCTGGGGGTGGAGGCCTGGTCGAGGACCGGACCGCGGGGACACTAAAGCCCCGAAATCATCTCAAGATAACCTCAAGATAAGAAGAAGCAGTATAATAAAAAAAATCTAACCAGACCCTGGGAATAATCAAGAGTAGCTTTGACTTTAAGGAAAAGAAGGTAAAGTGATTCAATATATGGTGGTATACCTCCTCTGGTGCAATTGCAGGGACCCACATCCTCGAAGAAGAAAACAAAGAGCTTTCAGAGAAGATCTTGTGGATTCTCACTGAACACTTTAATCTTTTCTTCTCCTACCACCCCTAGTGACTCAATTGTATAAATCTCTGGTGCGGCCCCATATTGGTTACAGTATGATGACCAGACCACACTAGAATGTGTTATTGCGTGGATACTGTAATTGGTTACAGTATCCACGCATGGACACTTCATCTACAGAAGTAAATAGCTGCTTTGGAGAAAGTGCAATACCGGGCAACAAAAATCATTCTAGAGCTAAAGCAACCCAGGAACGGCTGAGGGCCACAGGGCTAACAACACTATAAACCAGGCATGACAGAGAGGAGCCCATTGAAACTTATAAAATACTGAACAATTTGGAGGATGTTGATCCGGACAATTTCTTCTAAAGGTCAGCTGTAACACAAATAAGGAGCAACGGTTCAAGCTCAACAAGCCTCTTGTATATATATATATGTGAAAAAAGTAAGGCACAATGTAGGACTGAGAACAGGTGATGCTTTTTCACCCACGGGGTTAATAAATGGGGGAAGACCATTTATTCCCCCCTTAAATGGGGCAAATGGGGGGGGGGGACCATCCAGGGAACATATATATAATATATATATATATATATATATATATATATATATATATATATATATATATATATATATAATAATAATAATAATAATAATAATAATATTAATCTTTATTTAGGTAAGGTACATACATAAAGAGATTTACAAAGTTTGTTGGCTTTATAGATAGAGCTAGTACATACAATGCCTAAAGCCACTATTACGCAAAGCGTTTCGGGCAGAAGGACACACACACATATATATATATATATATATATATATATATATATATATATATATATATATATATATATATATATATATATATATATATATAAATGTGTGTGTGTGTATATCACGAAAATAAACACGTGATTAAGAATGTGACAATGTCAGACCACGGAGGAAAATGAAACAGGAATTTCCTTAAGTACTTTCGTATATTAAATACATCTTCAGAAGGAATGATGAAGGAAGGAATCATCATTCCTTCTGAAGATGTATTTAATATACGAAAGTACTTAAGGAAATTCCTGTTTCATTTTCCTCCGTGGTCTGACATTGTCACATTCTTAATCACGTGTTTATTGTCGTGATACACACACACACACACACATATATATATATATATATATATATATATATATATATATATATATATATATATATATATATATATATATATATTAGTATATTTTGGTAGCAGTCTTTCCTGTAGACATATTTTATTAAATATGACCGAAAAAGTAAGATTAATAATTCTAACACGAATTTTCTCAATCTTTCGTACATTATGCTTCACTGTTGGAGGTAAATCAAAAATCACTTCTCCAAAATTCATTTTTATTTCTAGTCTGACGCGACACGGGCGCGTTTCGTAAAACTTATTACATTTTCAAAGACTTCACAAATACACAACTGATTAGAACTTGCATTTCCCTGATTTTATATCTACTTTTGAGTGAGGTGGGAAGGGTGATGTGGCATTACATTTGAGTGAGGTGGGAAGGATGATGTGGCATTAGAGGATATTAATAGGGTATTAAAAGTATCAACACAAGACAGAACACGAAACAATGGATATTGAATAGAAGTGTTTGTAGAAAGCCTATTGGTCCATATTTCTTGATGCTTCTATATTGGAGCGGAGTCTTGAGGTGGGTAGAATATAGTTGTGCAATAATTGGCTGTTGATTGCTGGTGTTGACTTCTTGATGTGTAGTGCCTCAAGGCTTGACGTTTGCGAGGCACTACACATCAAGAAGTCAACACCAGCAATCAACAGCCAATTATTGCACAACTATATTCTACCCACCTCAAGACTCCGCTCCAATATAGAAGCATCAAGAAATATGGACCAATAGGCTTTCTACAAACACTTCTATTCAATATCCATTGTTTCGTGTTCTGTCTTGTGTTGATACTTTTAATACCCTATTAATATCCTCTAATGCCACATCATCCTTCCCACCTCACTCAAATGTAATGCCACATCACCCTTCCCACCTCACTCAAAAGTAGATATAAAATCAGGGAAATGCAAGTTCTAATCAGTTGTGTATTTGTGAAGTCTTTGAAAATGTAATAAGTTTTACGAAACGCGCCCGTGTCGCGTCAGACTAGAAATAAAAATGAATTTTGGAGAAGTGATTTTTGATTTACCTCCAACAGTGAAGCATAATGTACGAAAGATTGAGAAAATTCGTGTTAGAATTATTAATCTTACTTTTTCGGTCATATTTAATAAAAATATATATATATATATATATATATATATATATATATATATATATGTCGTACCTAGTAGCCAGTACGCACTTCTATATGCCTACTATGCAAGGCCCGATTTGCCTAATAAGCCAAGTTTTCATGAATTAATTGTTTTTCGACTACCTAACCTACCTAACCTAACCTAACCTAACTTTTTCGGCTACCTAACCTAACCTAACCTATAAAGATAGGTTAGGTTATGTAGGGTTGGTTAGGTTCGGTCATATAATTACGTTAATTTTAACTCCAATAAAAAAAATTGACTTCATACACAATGAAATGGGTAGCTTTATCATTTCATAAGAAAAAAATAGAGAAAATATATTAATTCATGAAAACTTGGCTTATTAGGCAAATCGGGCCTTGCATAGTAGGCTGAGAAGTGCGTTCTGGCTACTAGGTACGACATATATATATATATATATATATATAAATATATATATAGGTTGACCTACTTTCTGAGATGTTCTCCATCCTACAGCAGCCCTAAGTTAAATGTGTATGACACCCTTCTGAGGTCCATGCTGGTGAAAGTCCTGAACCTGCCATTGGACGACTCTCAGTGGGAGCAAGCAACCCTTCCTGTAAGACTCGGCGGCCTTGGTGTCCGCACAGCCTCCCAAATTGCTCTACCAGCCTTCCTTTCCTCCTCTCATGCATCGCACGACCTCGTCAGAGATATTTTACCTGCAACCCTGAGAGATTCAGCAGGAATACACGATCCTGCTTTCACTGAATGTTCAAATCAGTGGAATGTTCTTGCAGCCCCAGCAACCATTATAGAGCCAACAAAACAACACAAACAGTCCGGCTGGGACCACCCTCTAGTGGAAAAAGTAGCTGATGCCATGCTAAGCGTCGCAACATCAGACAAGGAGAAAGCCCGCCTCAGAGCAGTGCGTGCCCCCCATGCAGGAGACTTCCTCCTGGCAGTACCCATGTCTGCAATGGGCACGCGCCTAGATCCAGAATCCCTTCGTGTAGCAGTGGCCCTCCGCCTTGGTGCCCCAATTCACACTGAATACAAGTGTATTTGCAACAGGGTGGAAGCAGACCAATACGGACTGCATGGGTTGCATTGCGGAAGCACAAAGGGCTGGCATGCAAGACACAACGAGGTCAATGACATCATCAAGAGAAGCCTCGTCTCAGCTGGGTGCCCAGCGGAGAGAGAACCTCGCATCCTAGGGGTCCAAAACCCGGATTTCCCAGCACTTCGCCCTGATGGCATCACCATATACTCATGGAAGGAGGGTAGACAGTTGGTGTGGGACTACACATGTGTATCCACCCTGGCTGACACCTATGTACACTTGGGAGCTGATCAAGCAGGTGGGGCGGCCAACCACAGGGAAACAGCAAAATCACTCAAGTACACGCGACTGGAAGGTCAATACCTCTTTGTCCCCATAGCGTCTGAGACGCATGGCCCCTGGGGCAAGAGTGCCTTGGGATTTCTCAAGGAATTGGGGTCCAAGCTCATTGACGTCACCAGAGACCCAAGGGCTTCCAGTTTTTTATTTCAGCGTCTCAGTGTGGCGATCCAGAGGGGAAATGCTTGCTGCGTCCTCGGTTCCTGTCCAGAAGCGGAGGAGCTTCAAGAGATCCATAACCTTTAGGCATTTGTCTTGTATGTTTTGTAACCTTTAAATACACAATAAAGGAAAAAAAAAAAAGGGAAGGGGGTGGTAGGAGAAAAGCACACAGAAACTGTATTGGAGGGGACCCACATTCCCTCCAATGCGTTATGTGTGGTTTCCTCCGAGGCTATGGGTCCCCCTTCTTCCAGCCAGAGGTGGTACTCCCTTCCCTATTATAAAAAAAAAAAAAATATATATATATATATATATATATATATATATATATATATATATATATATATATATATATATATATATATATATATATATATATATATATATATATATATATATATATATATATATATATATATATATATATATATATATATATATATATATATATATATATATATATATAAAGAGTTTTTCCCTCTAAATAAGGGAAGGACCAGGGGCCAACCTGTACTGTAGCTGCCCCTAACCCACTAACAATAACAACAACAGTCTGGTCCATGGCCCCTGTCACTGCCCTGGCCACATACTCCTGCACTTGGGGTCAGTCAGTCTCCTCATCAGTCAGTCTCCACTTCAGTCATTCGCAGCTTCAGTCGATCTCCACTTCAGTCAGTAACCTTCAGACAAGCTGCAGGTGTTATAACTGAAATCTGGGAAGAATTTATCGGCCGTTAGGGGAGGAATTTTTCATCCAGAGACGCGAAGTTGAAACATCTTGGCGAGCCCCAGACTTTGTCACTTGAGGCTCAGATTTGCCACTTGAGGCACAGATTTGCTACTTGAGGCACAGATTTGCCCCTTGAGGCACAGATTTGCTTCTTGAGAAACGAAATTTGCTACTTGAGGTATAGATTTTCCACTAATGGGACATAAGACTTCCCAGGAGGTGCATTATTGACATGTTTTCATTTTCTACCTGTAGCAGAAGGTTGCAAGAGTAGAGTCGGATTTTCAGAAAGGCTCAGATTTAGCACAGCAAGGAACAAACAACGTAGAAGCACGAAAATAACTATAATCGGGAAGCTGTGGTTAGTAACATACGGTAATCTGAATTGTCCGTGACCACCGCCATCATGGAGGGCAAGAGTCTGAGAAAGCCCAAGAGTCGAGCTGCCTTCACCAGTTACGGGCTCAAGAGGATTGTGAAGTCTCCCAAGTAAGTGTCCTTCTTGAGGTTATCTTGAGATGATTTCGAGGCTTTTTTTTAGTGTCCCCGCGGCCCGGTCCTCGACCAGGCCTCCACCCTCCATGAAGCAGCCCATGACAGCTGACTAACACCCAGGTACCTAATTTACTGCTAGGTAACAGGGGCATAGGGTGAAAGAAACTCTGCCCATTGTTTCTCGTGTGGTCTCGGGATCGAACCCAGGACCACAGAATCACAAATCCCACGTGCTGTCCGCTCGGCCGCCCGGCTCCCCTGTCCTGCATGGATACAAATCACATCGTACACAAGGCACTTCACTAATGGATTTTTAAAACTTACCTAGCCTAATTTGACCCAAACCAACCTTACCTAATCCAACCTAGCGCCTAAGACAGCCTAAGCTTAGCTAATACAGTCTAATCAAACTATATATATATATAGTGTATATGTGTGTAAATCACAAAAAATAAACATGTGATTATATATATAAACTATATATATAATATATATAGTTTAATATAATATACTAATTTAATATAATATACTAATGTCTCTAATATTCTCAAACCTATATTGTTTGCTGACGATACTACCCTTATCTATTCAGACCTCAACCCACATACACTAAATAATGTTGTGAATAATGAATTAAAAAAGTCCACTTATGGATGTCAACGAACAAACTAGCATTAAACATCGAAAAGACTTACTACATCTTATTTGGAAGCAAATCATCAAATGCAATTCAGCTACAGATAGACAACATTAACATCAGTAATAAAAATGATGGCAAGTTTCTTGGCCTATTCCTAGACAAGAGACTCAACTTCAGCACCCACATTCAACACATAACTAAGAAAGTCTCTAAAACAGTTGGTATACTTTCCAAAATCAGATATTATGTTCCTAACTCTGCTCTCCTCTCACTATATTATGCACTAATCTACCCCTATCTTAATTATGGTATCTGTGCATGGGGGTCTACCACTGCAAACCACCTTAAGCCCATCATCACACAGCAAAAATCTGCTATCAGAATAATAACTAACTCTGCTTTCAGACAACACTCAGCTCCCTTGTTTAAATCCCTAAACTTGGTAAATATTAACTCCCTCCACACATTCTCTTGTGTCAACTACATTTACAAAACCCTGTTCTTAAATGCAAACCATGCTCTGAAACTCTCCCTGGACAGATGTAATAGGACCCATTATCACCACACCAGAAATAAATATCTCTTTGATATCCCCAGGGTCAAACTTAATCTGTGTAAACACTCTATGCAAATTAAGGGACCTAGTCTATGGAACTCACTCCCTAGTGAATTGAAAAACTAAACCTTTTGCCTTATTTAAAAGCAAAACCAAAAAGTACCTAATTTCATCTTCTTAGTTTCCTACACTGAGCTTTAAATTTGCTCTGTACCTAGTGTTACCCAATCTCCTAATTTTTATGTAGTATCAAACAACCTTATCATTGTGTTCATTGCTGTCTTCTTTTATGTGCTAGCCATATGCTGTATTGTGACTACCAATTTTTGTCAACTACCATTCAAGCTGTCACTGCAATCAATCTTATATTGTTTCTGCTGTATTGTGCCTACCAATTTTTTTCAACTACCATTCAAGCTGTCATTGCAATCAATCTTAGCTACCTATGTGCTTTAATTTACTGTACCTACAATTTTCTCTCATCTTCTTTTTTTCATTCCATGTAACTGTTATCATTTTTTTGTCTATAAATTTTGCAAGTATTTACCTCCTTAAAATTTTCTTAGATTAAGGACCTGCCCGAAACGCTGCGTGTACTAGTGGCTTTACAAGACTGTAATTACCATATTATGTATCCTCACATTCCCAATGTACATTCTTGTATATGCATAAATAAATAAATAAATGTGTACTTGGATGAAAAAACGATTCTTCGCGGCAGGGGATCGTATTCCAGGGACCATAGGATTAAGGACTTGCCCGAAACGCTACGCGTACTAGTGGCTGTACAAGAATGTAACAACTCTTGTATATATCTCAAAAAAAAAAAAAAATAATAATAATAAATAAATATATAGATAAACTATATATATAAAGTGTATATGTGTGTGAATCACGAAAAAAAAACATGTGATTAAAAATGCGACAGTGTCAGACCACGGAGGAAATAGTATAGGTCTTGAAAATTTGAAAATGACCTTTGTCGAAATGTCGGTGTATAATTTGATGATACCCCTTCTGTGTTGGGTGTTCTCAAATTCTCCACAAGATGGTTTGACGAAGCTACTTTTCTGATTACCAAAACAGTATATAATAAAGTTAGCATTTATTCCCTTAGCTTGGGCTGTGTTAGGTTCAGCTGGGTTAGGTAAAGTTGGTTTTGGTTAGATTAGATAAAGATCAGTAAGGTTAGGTTGAATTTAATAATAATAATTATTATTATTATTGTTATTTTTATTATTTAGGGAAAAGTACATACAATGTGAGATTCAAGAAGTGTGTTGGATTTCTTGGTCAGAAATGGTCTGTCCATTATTTTGGACATTATTATCCATTATATAATTTCTTGGTCTGTCCATTATTTTGTGGAATGAATAAGCCTCCTTGTCTTTCCATTATGCATTTTTTTTTTAACTAGACATTTTTATTTTTCTAGTCAAGCTTCATTGAATGGGCACCTTAGCTTATGTAATGGTAGATTCAACAAATTCATATCACCTCATGCAGACTGACAATCTACCTCTAATGGCAGCCTGTTAGCCTGCATAATTTAGTACAGTATTTCATTTTTTCTATCACATTTACTGATACAGGACAATTCAATTTTTAGATCATGTTTCATTTTGCACGTTTCACTGCCACAAGTCGGGGCGAAACGGAATGAATTGACATTTACTGTAGTTTAGCAGAAATTAAGCACATCAAAATTGCATTCATGCTGTACTGTTACTTAGTGAAAGCTTACATAATTCAATATGCCTATATGCTTTTATATTTATAACATCAAAATTCATTAACAATAAATCTTCAAGGCCCTGCGGGCCGCTCCAAGCAACAGCCTGGTGGCCCAAAATCTCACAAGTCAAGCCTGGCCTCGGACCGGGCTTGGGCAGTAGAACAACTCCCAGAACCCGATCAACCAGGTATATGTGGGCCTGCGGGCCGCTCCAAGCAACAGCCTGGTGGACCAAACTCTCACAAGTCAAGCCTGGCCTCGGGCCGGGCTTGGGCAGTAGAACAACTCCCAGAACCCCATCAACCAGGTATATGTGGGCCTGCGGGCCGCTCCAAGCAACAGCCTGGTGGACCAAACTCTCACAAGTCAAGCCTGGCCTCGGGCCGGGCTTGGGCAGTAGAACAACTCCCAGAACCCCATCAACCAGGTATATGTGGGCCTGCGGGCCGCTCCAAGCAACAGCCTGGTGGACCAAACTCTCAAGTCAAGTCTGGCCTCGGGCCGGGCTTGGGGAGTAGAACAACTCCCAGAACCCCATCAACCAGGTATATGTGGGCCTGCGGGCCGCTCCAAGCAACAGCCTGGTGGACCAAACTCTCACAAGTCAAGTCTGGCCTCGGGCCGGGCTTGGGCAGTAGAACAACTCCCAGAACCCCATCAAGCAGGTATCAAAGCATCCTTCTTAGTCAGTGCGGCAGACAGATGTAGCACCGCTCACAGGAAATCAAAAAGCACAAAAGTCAGCTTTAGAGTGAAAGATAGCAAGTCAAGGCTAGGATGTTGTTAATCTGTATTGCCTCTTTAGCATGGGGTACATTTTTTATGCAGGTATTTCTCCTGCAGAGTGAAGGACAGTTCTATATTCTGGTGGATGTTGGCAATGGCTCGGCTGTACCTGGCAACGGTGCAAACGGGATACATTCACCCGGACGAGTTTCATCAGTCTGTCCAGGTCATGGCACGTATGTATCTCTGCACATTACTTTAGCCTCATTTATTACATCTTGTGTCTTATGATTACGTTCATTGTTAATATATACAGTATATAGATATGTACTGTACCTGTTTTTTTTTTTTAGGGAGGATTGTCAGTCATTTAATGTTGCTTTGGCACTGTATTTGATCAATGTGATCTTAACAGTCATCAAACAATACAGTATCTGTATAACAGTTTAATATGTGGATAATCCAAGTACATTAGTTGTTATGAAACTAACATACGTACCTCATAACATGGTTTAAATATGGTCTCATTATTGTTAGAAATTTAATTTTGGCTGTTTGTATTTTTTCAGGTGACATTTTGGACATAGATGCTAAGAAACCTTGGGAGTTTCACACAGAGAACCCTATAAGGTCGGTCACCTTCTCCGCCCTCGTGTCCTTACCTTACGTCTTCATGAAGTATGCGGCTCCATTTTTCTCTTACTATGTGGGATATGAACTTCAAACTCCATATATTTTACTTGTTGCTCCAAGGGTTTTTATGACCCTTCTATCTTTCATAGCCGACTACAGCATGTACCGAATTGCTCGAATGTGTTACCTTAGACCCTGGAGCTGCGTTGAAGTCTTTGCTAGCTCGTATATAATGCTTGTTTATGCAACAAGGACCTTTTCAAATACTATGGAACTTATCCTTATGGCAGTGTTGTTATGGCGCGTGTGCGAGTCCATGGTAGACAGTACAAAAGTTATCCGCAAGCAGACCATTCTACAGGATCTTTACGAAACGGCTGAAACTCTACAGGATAAAGTGAAATTAGTTCGTATGAAGAGCAAATTACCTCCCTACAACTATGTTGATAGTGCCATCATATCGGTGGTTGTCACTTACGGAGCATTTGTTCGGCCCACCTTTGTTGTGTTTTCCTTTATTCCAGTTGCATTCTGGTTGCAGAGAGGTGTGGTAACAAAGGAATTGGACTTTTCTTATTTTAATCTACGGTGTCTGAGTCTCCTCCCAGGTATCGTGGTGACATTTGTCACCTGTGTGTTGACGGATTCTTTCTATTATGGCTCTCTATCCTTCACCGAGCTTGTGAATTGGAATGTGACTGGCCGATCTTTCATTGTGACACCCATTAACTTTTTGCTGTACAACTCTCAAGAAGGTAATTTAGCTGCTCACGGCCTTCATCCGTACTATCTTCACCTTGCAGTAAACATTCCAGTTCTTCATGGCATTCTGGGATTTCTTGGCCTGTGGTCAGTTTCCAAGTATTCGGCAGCATTCGTTACAAATAACTTTACCAAAAAGCCGAAGGTGTTTAGCATGGCTACCATGCTTTTAGCTACATTCTTCTTGCCAGTGCTTATATTGTCATCAGTACCTCACCAAGAACCCAGATTTCTCTTGCCTACATTACTCCCTCTTGTTATTCTTCATTCAGATGATGTTCTTTTGTCTGGCAAAAGAATTAAGACCTTTAGACATATCTGTTTCCTCATGTGGCATATTTGGAATATTCTGTGTGTTATTTTTTTTGGTTTTCTTCATCAGGGAGGAGTGACCAAAACAATGATGAGGGTTCACGAACATATTCTCCAGCGCCCTCCTCACACAAACGTCCACATTATATTCTCTAACATGTATACGCCCCCAACTTTTTTGCTCATGAGAAGGGTTAATGTCATTGCCGTAACCGAGGAAGGCCGCCGGTACCTGATTGCAAAATCTGTATTTACCTATGATGCAGGGGGTTCTAGACCAGTTGAAGAGTTACATGATATTGCAGCTCAGATATATAGAGAAGCTCTCCAAAACTCCACCAGAGATGCAGACGTTCTAATTTGCCTTCCAGCAAGTCTCTCAGATGAGCTCTACACTAGTACACCCGGAAATGTAACTCTTCAAAGATTGCAACGTGTACGAGGTCACTTAACCTTAGAAGATCCTCCCAATCTGAATGTGCATGATGTGACTTTTACTAGATCATGTGGGCATGTTTGTCAGTTTGTACGCCGTCTTGATCAGTTCAGCATTGACATAATTGGAATTGACTTTGGAAGCCATCATAGTGGTCTAAATAAAGATGCTCTTGATGCAAATCGTGGAATTTACAGTGAAAATCAAGAGACTTCTGAAATGAATGACGAGATTTTGAGTCCGAGTAGCAATTTGTCCTCGGAGCCTCTTGAAGTTGATCAAGACAACCACGATGAACTTTAGCAGAAATAACACCTTTATTTCCTCATGCTTTTGAGTACAAAAGTTTTAGCAGCTATAGAACTATTAATATTGGATTAGAATATGAATTTCATATCTAATATTGAATGCTTTATTGACATGAGTTTGTTGCTGAGTTGCTTTTAATGATTATTGCAGTAGTCCAATTGGATTTGCGTGTTGAATTCTAGCCACATCCATAAATAATGCAACCCACGCATATGAAATGAAAGTGACGATGTTTTGGTCTCCTAAACCCTTAATCAAATTGTAACAATGACTTAATAAGGGCCCCAGAATGGATCGATCAAACTGCCATCCATTGCTTTCATATACAGTATGCAGGTTGTGTTATTTTCTTCTCTATAGAAATAACACAGATCTCTATTTCTCACAAAGTAGTCCACTCGGTTAAACCTGGGATTTAGATGCATACTTAAAACATTTTAATAGATAATTAAAACACGCTTGTATTAATGCAGTTTACAAGGTTTTTTTATTATAAAAAAACTGCACTATGGTTCTTATTTATTATGGCTGTGATTGTTATAAAGAGAATCAGTCTCAGAACAGAATTCAGTCTCCGTGGTGCAGTGGTAAGACACTCGCCTGGCGTTCCACGAGCGCTTTGTCATGGGTTCGTATCCTGGCCGGGGAGGATTTACTGGGCGCAATTCCTTAACTGTAGCCTCTGTTTAACGCAACAGTAAAATGTGTACTTGGATGAAAAAACGATTCTTCGCGGCGGGGATCGTATTCCAGGGACCTGCCCGAAACGCTACGCGTACTAGTGGCTGTACAAGAATGTAACAACTCTTGTATATATCAAAAAAAAAAAAAAAAAAAAAAATTATTATGCATAAGAAGTTATAAGTTTGCAGAAGCAATTTGTCATAAGGGAATGAGTGACAGTTTGTAAGAGTTCAGAGAAATTTCTATCTAGTCTACCAAATTATTATAACACTGCTGTAAATGGTTTACTAGTGTGTGGTGGTTCAGTGGTAGTGTTATAATGCTGCCGAGTATTGTGATGCTACCAAGGTATGCCAGGTTCAGGTGCCCCGATTACCTCTCTAGTCGTATGTGGGACAGAAAGTCTTCTCTGGGTTGCCTCAGGCAAGTCTCGGTCTTTTTGATGGGTTTCCATTGTTCGTTGCCGTTCCCTGGTTATCTCTTAACACATTTGCAGGACGTGGGTGACAAAGAGAACTTTGCGACTCTTCAGTCATGCCGGTTTGCCATTTGGGTTTCTCTCCAGAATGCAGTTTGGTCGGTCACTCTTGTTTGCTTCCCTTTTCTCTTTCTTCAAGAGTAGCAATTTCATGTGAATTGGCAGTTGCAGGTGTGTGTGTATTCAGCTCCTTCACCAGATGTTTCGACTGCAGTCAGTGACTTCAGTTCCAGCTTTGGGCTGGTCCCACCAGTCAACTGTTTCTCCAGATCTGGGGGATGTTGAGATGTTTGCTAATTTGATGGCTTTCTTTGCCAATTTGGCAACATCTGATATTCGTGGTTGGGCTTCTGGCAATCCTTATGATGATGACTTTCATTTTTTATTGGAAGGTGGATATTCTTTGGGCTCACTGTTCTCGTGAATAATTGGGTGTTTAGCACACATCTGCCATTCTTTGCCTTTGGCCTCTCCTCTCCTGTCATTCTTCTTCCACGTTCTTATGTGAGTGGTCTTGAGAATCCACTGAGGGGTTGCTCCCAAATATCAAGTGTTGGCTGTTATGAAATGCCCTTTTCTGGTAGACTCCCTGTACTCCAAAGGGGGGGGTCCAATTCCAGACCTTCTTACCCCTAGATTTGAGGGGTTTTGGCACAGGTGGATCCAGAGTGAGGGGGTTAGTCTGGCTGGCACCCTAGGTGACTTGGGCTGCCATATACAGTAATGTTGGGCAAATCACAGTAAGGACATGTGCCGTGCGGCAATGATCATTTGCTTTGTTTACCTTGCGGTCCGCTCTTCCCTTCAAGCAGTTGCTCGTTTTGAGTCGGTCTCCCGATCTCTCCTAACCTCGTACAGTGAGCCAGATTGTGGTCTTGGCTTCCAGGAGGACACACACACACACACACACACGTATGGGTTTCAGAGTCCTGGTGTGTTGGCAAGCTACTGGAGACATTCTAGAAAAAGTGTTTCAGAACATTCAATGCTTGAATTTTGTAATAACAAGTGGCAGGCATCATCCCTTCATCCCTTATTCAATTGTTAAGCTAAATACTGGATATGAACAAAAGAAATAGTTTAATGATAGTAGTGGTGCCTCTATTAACGAGTTTAATGCGTTCCAGCACCGGGCTTGTTATGTGGAAAACTCGTCTTGCGAAATAACAACAAAACTCTCGTTGGAGGTGTCCGAGAACCAGCGGGAACGCTCGTTAATTGAGCGAAAGCTTGTCAGTCGAGACAATTTCTGCAAGTGGCTTGCTCATTACTCGAAATGCTCATAACTGGAGCTGCTCGTCACTCGAGTTCCACTGTATAATATCGATTTCCAGCAGGCACTGCAAGTCGTCAATGATGGTCTGTAGTCACTGCATGGCATGCAAGACATTAATAAGGCTCACATGACAAAAAAATCAAGATAAATTTGAGTAGTCTTTAAACTCTCCAAATAAAGAGTGGACCAAAATGTTAAGTACATAATTGGACCAGTCACATCAATGCAATAAATTGACCAATAATTTTGCTAGTTGTAGGAATGTAGTAGTACTTCAGAACAACAACAAGACATTACAAAGCCCCCCAAAACGAATTTGAGACAGATTAACCCCTCAACTGCACTGGCCAACAAATGTCGTTTTGAGAGTTGTCCATTTTTTTTTTTTAATTATGCTGTATTTTAATGTTTTTTAAAGTTTTCATCACTTCTTTTTTTAAATGAAAATACTGTAGTTGAGTTTGGACAATTTTGACATTAACTTTACCTAAACATTTATAAAAACAACAAAAATATGTCCTTAACAAATGCACTGTGAAGTTTTTGCCAAAAACAGGTGCGCAGTGCAGGGATTAAAGGCATTACATTGTTGACTGGTATTCATTTGTGTTGCACTATACCGTCTTGTAATTTTGAAATAAGCCTCTGTGATATAAGTATCTTTGCATCGTCCCAAAAGAAGCTCCAGAATACGCTGCATAAAAATGTTCAGATTGTGGCAATTCACGTTTGCAAACGTGTTCAAATTTTGAGCTCTTTTCATTCTCTATACTCGTAAGAATTTTTTATCCAAACTAATTTAGCTTTATGTACAGTATTGTATACTACTATTAATTACTTTGTAATGAAGCCAAGAACTAGTCATAGTAATGTTTAGATAATATGCACTAATTGATCTCGTTGATGTTGACGAGACCACACACTAGGTGGTGAAGGGACGAAGACGTTTCGGTCCATCCTGGACCATTCTCAAGTCGATTGTGACTTGAGAATCGACTTGAATCGGTCCATCCCGGACCACAATCGACTTGAGAATGGTCCAGGATGGACCGAAATGTCGTCGTCCCTTCACCTTCTAGTGTGTGGTCTGGTCAACATACTTTAGCCATGTTATTGTGACTCATCACCTGCTGATAGATCTCATAATTTCACTTAGTGAAAGTGAAATATTTCCATTATGTGATTAGGAATTATGGTTATGTGTCATGAGTAAAAGAATCAAGTGCTGCTTGTGTTAACAGTCCAGTCGTGTAATAATGACTAATGCCCAGTGTGTTATTAGTGCAAAACAATTCAGAAGGCTAATTTGTATAAGTGATGTTAAGAATAAAGCCGGTGAAGGAATAACTTGACTTTAACCAAGTTGTGACAACGAACATTAACATCAAGGCCACAAGCGGTGCTGGACATTGTGTAAAAAAAATTCTATATATTCTCTTCAATAACTGGTTATTAATATGATCATTAATTGAATAATTTTTCTAATACTGTACAGGTATATGAATATTGTGAAAGAATTTGCCTTCTGTAACAACTTTGGTTCTTAATGAATATTGTACAAAAATTTGCCTGTACTGTATATGTAAGAGACCAATTAAATTTGTGTAATTTGGTATAAATGCCATCTGACACAAATACTTCATTAATAATGAGGGGATAATCCCCATGAACCAAACAATGTACCATAAACCCAATGTACCTTCTTGTATATAAATAAATAAAATAAAATAAATATGAACAAATCCACAAGGGCCGTGACAAGGATTCGAACCTGTGTCCAAGAGCATCCCAGACGCTGCCTTTATCGACTGAGCTACGACATGGTCAAAAGAGTTGAAACCGGAGTTCTACCGAACTTACTGGATCCTGCAGCCTCTCCGAGACACAAACCAGGGTTTTACACAACTCCCCCCATGCACCCGAGCTATGTCAATAGGCCGTTCTCCCTCTTCGCCCTTACATCATTACACACAGAAATCACAATAACGTTATGCATCAAACAAACAAATCCACAAGGGCCGTGACAAGGATTCGAGCCTGCGTCCAAGAGCATCCCAGATACTGAAACCCTGGTTTGTGTCTCTGAGAGGCTGCAGGATCCAGTAAGTTCAGTAGAAGTTCGGTTTCAATTCTTTTGACCATGTCATAGCTCAGTCGATGAAGGCAGCGTCTGGGATGCTCTTGGATGCAAGTTCAAATCCTTGTCACGGCCCTTGTGGATTTGTTCATTTGATGCATCACCTTATTGTGATTTGTGTGTGTAAAATAAACATGTTTTGGTTAATATGGGGGGGGGGGGGATGGGGCAGAGGAGGAGGTGGAGAACCTGGAATTTCTGTATCTGCATGAACCAGATAATGAAGGTGCCACATTGTATTTCACTTATAATGAACACTTTCTATCATGAGCTTCAAGTTTTATTTTAAGTTTTTGCTCTCTAGCCCATAAAAATAGGGGGTCAGTAGGCCTATGTTGCACGAGTGAATAAATGATTTTTAGTACAATATGCTTAAATTACTGTGTTTGTAGTGCAACCTTGAAAATTCACAGAAAATTCAGAAAATTCAGGTATAACAGGAATCATATAAAAATTGTACATTAAGATTTGATTACTGTAACTATAGTTTAAAATTTGAAAATGGAATTTCTAGATGTGTGGAAAATGGACGGCTTTTGCCTTCTTGATACTGTACTTGCTAATTAATTAATTACGCAGGGCAGAGAGCCGAGTGAGGCCAGGGGTAAAGAGCTCGGATGAGGTTATCTTGAGATGATTTTGGGGCTTTAGTGTCCCTGCGGCCCGGTCCTCGACCAGGCCTCCACCCCCAGGAAGCAACCCGTGACAGCTGACTAACACCCAGGTACCTATTTTACTGCTAGGTAACAGGGGCATAGGGTGAAAGAAACTCTGCCCATTGTTTCTTGCCGGCGCCTGGGATCAAACCCAGGACCACAGGATCACAAGTCCAGCGTGCTGTCCGCTCGGCCGACCGACTCCCTGTGCAGATATGAGTGTGCAGCGTGGCACTCTGAATGCGGGCGGAGTCAAAGAGCTCACGAGCAGGATGAGAGCATGGGAACTCGATGCAGCCGGAATCTGGCTGTCCGCTCTGTAGCGGGCAGTAGTCTTGTGAGGGTAGGAACTGGACATTAGGTAATTGAACAGGACATTAGGTAATTGATACGACAAAAACTAAACTAAAAAACTTTGATACTACAAAAACTAAAAAGTACTAATACGTAACAACTGGACAAGAACGCTGGTAAGCAAAACATGCACAACTATCATACTACAGATTTAATTAAAAAAAATAAAAGGATAATAAATTTATATCGACTATACAGCTTTTTTGCACCACGTAAATAATTATAAACCACTATGTAACCACTTTAATTAACTTGTCCAATATATTATCCATTAAATACAGTACAATATTATTGTTTATTAATAACAACTTAACCAATTATGGATTCAGTAAATAGTAAGTTAAACCCATCTGATAAGGAGACAAAAACACACTTAAGAACCAAGTATGTTTATCAATCTTTGAAAACTACGAAACATACACCTGTAATTTTATGGAAGTTATTTGTATTATAACAATATAATCATTAGCAATAAATACAATACTGTATAACATTTTTGCATTGCCCAATATACAGCAGTTTTACACAAAAATTACAAAACTATATTAATTTGGCGAGTAATTAAACAATATTGTAATTTTACACATTTTCTTATGAAAGATGTAGTATTAAAAATTATACATTACCAGCAATTACGAATGATCTATGCCGGGGGGGGGGGGGGGGGGGGGGGGGGGGGGAAGATGGAGGGGGGGGGGTTCCAAACCGAGGCATGTGTACCCCAGGTACTCTAAAGTGTTTATATGTTCCAAACATTATTGTACACAAACATTCCGAGGTTGTTCTATTGACTAGTGGGACAGTCGGAGCATATAAACATTATCCTGGAAACACAAACCGAAACTGTCTCTATTTTCCGTTTATTACAACTTGTAATAAAGTTGTTACATCTTGGCTTAACGTGTTTATGACGTATTAGAATGTTGTTACAACTTGCTATATTGGTTGTTATAACTGGTTAGGTGGTGTTAAAAGCTTGTTCGAACGTTGTACCAATGTCGTAGTTTCGGTGTGTGTTTGGCGGGTGGTTTGTACCAGAGAGATGTGTGTACTCCAATTTAAGAACCCCTGATCTATGCAGTTTTCAGTACCCAAATTCATCTTCTCACACAATAATGTTTTGTTTATACAATTGCTCAGTTTCCCTCCAACACTTATAAAAAAATAATGACCCGAAAGGTATTATTATTGATACAAAATTTCATATGGGAGTTTGTGGAGTCTATTGTTCAAATTTGCACACGTTGTTTTGTTTTTTTGAGAAGTTCAGACAAACTATTAAATGTGCATGTGAACATAGGTTACTAGTCTTTAACTTCCAAAATGGCACAAAGCAGGGAATGAAATTTCCAATGCAGCTTGACTTGCAGAAAGGCTCACCAGACATTTACCTCAATGAATACGTAATGCAATACCGATACCGGAGATCAGTACCATAATTCTATACTGCACAGAAAAAACAAGCCGGCCAGCTGGTGCATAGTGCCACGGCTTTTTTTTTTTTTTTTTTTTTAAACATTCTTGTTACTTTTCAGTGCTGTATAACGAGAGAGTTAAGAGTACATTGTACGATAATTTCTGGTACTGTGTAGACCAGTAGCTGGAGGAGTGCAGCAGGGGTGCCAGATTGAGTTGCCAAAAGTCGCGAGCTGAAGAACTGAATGTCACAAACATTACAATAAAAGTAGCCAAATATTTTTTTCCAATTGATTCGCTTTTCAGAATAAACAGCCCAGCTTATTTTAACCGTCGCCGAAAAAGTAGCAAGTAACGACATACATAACTGGCTTTTGAATTGAATACAATTATCCTAATTGGTAACCCAATTGGGCTACTAGTAGCCCAATCTGGCATCCCTGGCAGTGCGGTGTAAATCTAGTTTTAAGTAATGCAGCACTAGAGGAATACAGTGTAACTGTGGTGCTGTGTAGGGCAGTAGCTAGAGGAGTGCAGCGTAATACTTAGTGCTGTGCAATACAGTGGCTAGACAAGTACAGCATCATTCCAGTACTGCACAATGCAGTAGACACAAGTGCATCATAATACCGGTGTTGTGAAGCACAGCAGTCAAACGCAGTCACTTCTCGAGGCATTTGGTGCATTTCATGAACGTCTGACATGCATCACGGAACAAAGATAATTCACGATCTTCTGGACATTTGGGAAGAAAAGCAACAGAGTTGTATAAAATACTGTACGTTACTAAAAAATGTACACTGACTTATCTTTTGTTTGTCAAGTATAAACTCCATCAGGGGTGAAACAAATAATTGAATTAATTACTAAAGACAGGCCAAATATCCATAATTTTGCATGGATAAATCATATTGATACAATGGATATCAACTAAAAATGGTAAACAAATTACAAAAACTCAAAATATTCTAAAAAAAAAAAAAAAAAATAAACATCAAATTTTTGCGTAACTGTATGGGAATGGGGAGATTTGAGATTATCTACGCATTGTCAAAATACCAAGAGCCATTGGGCTCAAGATGACGATCAATTAGTTGTATCTAGAAAAAGCTTATCGAGCTGTACAGCATTTTAATGATACGTATGTGTATGTTTTTCAAAGATCTTAAGAGTGTTCACTAAATGTGTCCTGCACTCTGGGTGACAATTGAATTCACAAAACAAAAATAAATTGGCTCGTATTCATAATTTGTCCATAAAAAGTATAGCATCTCCACCACAGACAGGAGTTACAGCCCACTCCTGTGGCAGGTAAGTCCACTACGGGCTCACCGTAGCACGTGCTACTTGGGCGGCGCTCCATTAAGTGCCCGTGAGTTAAACGTGTATGGCCAATACGTAACCTCGCCAGAGCCGTTTCCCACCGCTGGTTACAGTGGTAGGAGGAAGGCTATGGGGGACACTACTCTTAAGAGCACGCAGTTTGTTACCAGTAACAGAAAACCAACAACCCTGCCAAAGGGGAATTTTTTGTTCCGAGTAGCTGAATCTAAATCATCATCCACTACAGAGTTGCCTGAAAGCCTTGACCTCATTGAATAAACCATAAATAAACCAAGCTTCACTGCAAGCATCATTATAAGTATTATGATGCTTCACTGCAAGCAAGCATCATAAGTATTATGATGCTTCACTGCAAGCAAGCATCATAAGTATTATGATGCTTCACTGCAAGCAAGCATCATAAGTATTATGATGCTTCACTGCAAGCAAGCATCATAATGTGATACAACCCAATTAACAGTTACAGCTCTGAACCCATGTGACAATTATCACAGCACTGGAACCTACAGTATTTGATTATTCAGAACTCAAATGTCGCAAAAGAAAATCTATTGACATTCCAACATCATGGTAAAAAAAAGACACACAAAGCACATTCCTAATGATGAATACCAGAAACACAGTTACGAGAGAGATATTGCAATGCACATCACAAAGGTAGGATGCATTTGAAGAAAACTCCAGTGAATGCTGTGTAAGAACTACACAGTACTTGCAGAGACTGTTACAACAGTGTGGCTGAAACAATCGGATAATGGTCCAGGATGGAATGAAATGTCATCATATTCATACTAGCAGATTGACTATGCTCAGTCCATTGGTAATACTAAGAACCTGAAAGACATATGGAGAGCAGTAAACAAAGTCAGGGGTTGTAAGACCAAATTCATTGCTCATTCAGATCCAGGGAAAGTTGCTAATGAGTTAGTAGATTATTTGTTTATACAGTACTTGTGTGTTCTCCAAAGCTGCCTCAGTCTAGGAACTTTTCAATTCATACCTCATAATTAATGTGTGTTGAGACAACACTTAGTTAACATCTTAAAAAGCGCTTATTAAGAATACAGCAAAGAAAAACAACTTTTTTTGCCATGAAAATATTTGGCATTTAAATTTGTAAGATCAAATTAGCTCTAAATAAAGTAGCAAGCTTCCAAATACCTGTAGTGTATCTCACAAATTGCTGTCAATTGTGTTAATGGAAGACTGACAAGCTTTCACTGTCCGAGCTCCGGGTCTACATAACATGACAAGCGTGCACCACCAGCAAGCCGTGCCCCGCTATGTGACGAGCACGAACCACCAAAACTCCGTATCCACATCACGTGACAGGCCCTCGCCACCCAAATTCCACGTTCACGCCACGTGACAAACGTGATGGCCACCCATCACGGTCGGCCGAGTGGACAGCACGCTGGACTCGTGATCCTGTGGTTCCGGGGTCGATCCCGGGCGCCGGCGAGAAACATTGGGCAGTTTCTTTCACCCTATGCCCTGTTACCTAGCAGTAAAATAGGTACCTGGGTGTTAGTCAGCTGTCACGGGCTGCTTCCTGGGGGTGGAGGCCTGGTCGAGGACAGAGCCGCAGGGACACTAAAAAAGCCCCGAAATCATCTCAAGATAACCACCCCAAGTACCTTGTCCACATCACATAATTAGCTTGCATCAGCCGAGCGCCGAGTCCACATAAAGTAACAAGCGTGTACTACCCGAGTGTTGTGTCCGTATCACATGACCACAGCAGTCTCCGTGGCGCAGTGGTAAGATACTCGCCTGGCGTTTCGCAAGCGCCTTGCCTTGGGTTCGAATCCTGGCCGGGGAGGATTGACCAGGCGCCAATCCTTAACTGTAGCCTCTGTTCACCCAGCAGTGAATGGGTACCTGGTTGTTAAACGATTCGGCGGGGTCGTATTCCGGGGAAATTAGGGTTAAGGACCTGCCCGAAACGCTACGCGTACTAGTGGCTTTACAAGAATGTAAACTCTTGTATATACATGACGGATCGGATTGATGGCCCACAATACCGAGTGTGTATGTAAACCCTCTGTAACCCATGTAATATAAATCAACACTTGTGACCAGAAATTTCATACCCTGCTGTGAAACTTAAATATGTTGAAATAGTACATTATCTTTGATACAAAAATATACTAAAAAATTATATTGGTGAGTAAAGTAGTAAACAGAAAAGTTAGATTCAAAGTAGACTTGCTACACTGTACCTGAAAATTGTATATATCTTCTATTAGCTAACAATACGTAAGGAGATAAAGGCAACATTTAAAAATTTAGTGTGCGCTTATGATATTTGAACATCTGAAGTCTTAATAGTCAGTATACCTGAGAGTAGACACTGCAATAATACTGTACTGTAAACTTATATAAAAGAACATAATTGTCTGTTTGTCAATCTCTTCGCAGTTTCAGGTTCTTGTTTGTCAATCTTTTCGCAGTTTCTGGTTCTTTCTAAAACCTTAAAATGCACTCCCGTAGTCCCAGGAAAGGTCACGGTGGAACTGCCTTTCCCCTAAACTTAAACTAGAATGTACCAGTTAAATTGGCATTTCCATAAAATTGTTACAATGGTCACAACAAAATGACTTCCATAAATTGCCCTTGGGCTAGATTCACGAAGCAGTTACGCAAACACTTACGAACCTATACATCTTTTTCTCAATCTTTGGCGGCTTTGTTTACAATTATTAAACAGTTAATGAGCTCTGAAGCACCAGGAGGCTGTTTATAACAATAACAACAGTTGATTGGCAAGTTTTCATGCTGGTAAACTGTTTAATAAATGTAAACAAAGCCGTCAAAGATTGAGGAAAGATGGACACGTTCGGAAGTGCTTGCGTAACTGCTTTGTGAATCTGACCCCTTGAATCATCCCTAATACAATGGGCTGCCAGCCACTAGTTCACTATAGAGGTAAACTCAATTAAGCCGGCAACTTTTGGTTGGGTCAGAATTGTGTATAAAAATGCCTGTAGGTTATAAAATAAAAAAAAAAGGTTATAATGCCAAGTTATTTATCAAATTCCATTAACATTTTAAAAATAAAATCCCGACATTTTCGATAACGTAAACTGGACGCATTTCAACAACGCTTAAACTTGTACGTGGAATGTTTCATTTATACCGTAAATTCACAGCTTCTCTGTGAATGAACAAAAACAATTATAATAAAGATTTTAATCACTGTAGCATGCACTAGTTTACTAACTTTTACACACTAGTCAATACAACCGGAGGCGCAGCAGGGACACATGCCCATATAATCTATCAACAATAACCAACACGACACTCGGGCGACCAAAAACACATTATTACTGCCCCAAGTAACTCGTCCGCACTACTCTTTCTTGCTTTTAACGGGTACATTCCAGTAGTAGATCATCTGAGCCATGATAACACCGTTGGCAAAGGTCGCAACACAGAACGTGAGAATGATGATCTGATCCCCCGTTTCCTGGATGGAAGTGAAGATACGGGCCATGGAGCCAAAAAACAGCATCGTCACCGTGATCGCCGACAGCTGTCCGGTGCTGCTGTTTCTGTAGTTTGCAAGGGCCTGGACCATCTGCAGATTAAATAGTAGTTGTAGAAAAAAATCCTTGTAGATAAGGAAACAAAGTACAGGATAATGTATATACGAGATCACTGAATGGTTTAAAGTGAAAGTTGGATACTGTATACACCATATGAATTGAGTTTGGTTATGGCCCTTTGGCAGTGCTTTTTATTCTTATATTTTTATCAGCATCACAAATCCAGTCTAGCTGATATGTTTCAAGTCTGGGAGGCTTATACCTGTTGTAGACGATGCTTAACTAGATCACAATCATTCCTTGATAGTTTGAATAGAATGTCCTAAAGCTACCAGGCAATATGTGCAAAAATACATAAAACTGGCAACATACCAAGCGCAAAACTTCCTATAAGGTCTGGACTGCATACGAGCCTACCGAAAACAGTATTAATATGCAATAATTAAGAAAGAACAAAGTATTAAAAAGTCCTTCACCTTGCCTGCAAATACCACAGGAATGTTGCAGGCCTGTAGAGTCCATAGAATCTGCAACGACACAATACCCGAACACAGGAGAAGGGTGAGAGATCCTACAGTAAGGAAGAAGGCTATAGCTCTCTCTGTCGATCCCCCGAAGTGATAGACCAGTGCTCCAATGATGGCTGTCTGTATCAGCAGGAAGACCCCGTCTCCATAGGAACTGTAGAGATATGTAAATGAAGAAATTTATAATTAGTACAACATAAAGAGTGAATGCTAATAATTAGAAGTGATATTGACCAAACCACACACTAGAAGGTGAAGGGACGACCCCGTTTCGGTTCGTCCTAGACCATTCTCAAGTCGATTGTCCAGGTCGGACCGAGAAAATGGACCAGGACGGACCGAAACGTCGTCGTCCCTTCACCTCCTAGTGTGTGGTTTGGTCAATATAATTTAGCCACGTTATTGTGACTCATCGTCTGCATTAGTAGTGATGATATGGCTAGATCCGAAGTCAATTAGGACACCTTGACCAATTATGAAAAAAAAGGCTAACAAAAATCAAGTGCTGAATGTAATGAAATGCCCTTTTCTGGCAAAATCCTGGTAACTCCACAAGCTATGAATCAATAGTCATGTCTGTAGCCAGTACCAGAATCTCACTCCTTACAAGACAAGGGAACTTTGGGATCAGTGATCACCTCAAAACTGAGAAGAAAAATACCACAAACACAAAAGGTTAAAAAAAATATATATTAAAAAAAAAAATTTGGTGGATATAAATAGGATCTGTCTCATATGGGCCAACAGGCCTTCTGTAGTTATTTTGATTCTTATGTTCAAAACAAACAAATGTTTTACAAAAATTAGGTACCTAGAGATAACAAGGCAAACAACTGTTACATCGGTGTAAACACCTTATAGGCGACGCACTCGACCACCAGATGGCAGCCCAGGACACCCAGAGGGCCCAGTCAGCCTCTTACCTCACCCCCTCACTTGGCCATCTAATAGGAAGAAAGGCACCTCTAATACGGACGATCCTCTGCTTCACCGTTTCAGCCGAGCGACGTTGGCCATTTCTCAAACGTTAGTTCTTGTGGGATTTGCCGCTGATATTGTTTATTTCCTCCTTCATGATTGTGTTTTATGTCACCCGCATTGCGTCTGCCCTAGCTTTGCATTTTGTTCTGACTTATTAACTCTAGGTCGGCCGGGAGCCGGTCGGCGGAGCAGACAGCACGCTGGACTTGTGATCCTGTGGTCCTGGGTTCAATCCCAGGTGCCGGCGAGAAACAATGGGCAGAGTTTCTTTCACCCTATGCCCCTGTTACCTAGCAGTAAAATAGGTACCTGGGTGTTAGCCAGCTGTCACAGGCTGCTTCCTGGGGGTGGAGGCCTGGTCGAGGACCGGGCCGCGGGGACACTAAAAAAAGCCCCGAAATCATCTCAAGATAACCTCAAGATAGGTACCTAACTTTCTTCACGCAGTTTTTTTCTCGTGGTTATGCTACAGTAAAGTATTTGGTGGGTTTTTGGAACCGAGCCCTGAGTTCCCTCGTCTCGTAAAGTGCCAACCTTTAGTCCTGGTTCATGGTAGACAAAGGTGTCAGTTCTTAGCTGATCAAGAACTAGCAATGTGGCTATATAATAAATATATTATTTAAATTAACAATTAAATGACAGTTTTAATTGAACAATTTCCACCTCACCTGAAAGGATAGCGGTTCACAAAGTTATAAGACACATTAACAAGAATGGCAGTGAGCTCTAGGATGGTGCCAGTAATGCTGATTCCCTGGCCGCTCTTGGCAGCCAAGATCTTGACGATCTGCGGCACTTTCACCAGAAGAGCCCCACCAACGATGGCAAGTCCCAGACACTTGCTGATGGCGGCTTTTAAGCATGGCACTGGAAAGAGAAGCATGTTAGAAAGAAGACAGATAATTTTTGCTTATTCATGGCTCTATTTTTGTGAGGAATTTGGATAGTTTTATTTCCTGCGTCATTAAGTTCATGTTACTATATAACACATGAGATTCAATACAATATCTTGACTACTAGAATTTGCAATTTTTTACTGTAAAACTAACTAATTACTAGTAAAACAAAATGCATAAAAGCAGCAATTTCTGGGTTAAAAGTAGAGAAAACATAAAAACTTTTATACAAAAGCTTGAATTGGTATACAGTGAAGTTCTGTGAAAATGGAAGAAATGTTTAGTATTTTTTCCGGTTGATAACAAAAATTTGTGTTACAGCACTCATTTTGGTATCAAATTGTTCCCAATAGAATGCTTTAAAGGGATATATGCATATAAGGGCAAATGGAACAACAACATTACCAATACAATAAAATAAAGTATAAACCACAATATAAATTATATAAAAAATCAAAAACTTTTGGTACTTACCAATCCAATGATGTTTGTAGAGCATGACATGAGTTGAGTATTAGGTTTTATCCACTCCACCTGCTCCCCGAAAACGTTTCTTGAAGATACCTGCTTGATGGGGTTCTGGGAGTTCTTCTACTCCCCAAGCCCGGCCCGAGGCCAGGCTTGACTTGTGAGAGTTTGGTCCACCAGGCTGTTGCTTGGAGCGGCTGGCAGACCCACATATACCTGGTTGATGGGGTTCTGGGAGTTCTTCTACTCCCTAAGCCCGACCCGAGGCCAGGCTCGACTTGTGCCGATTTTCAACCCATGTTTTATAGGTGGAGTGGACGGTGAGCAAGCATTACTGCTTACCCTCCCAATATTGTTTCTTGTGATGGTATCTGCTGTAGCATGGTGCAGGACACAGTGGCACATTGCACAGCTTGCACTTATAGTGCGTGTCCCTCCTCTTACCAGACATTTTGCAGACACGACACCTCAGACGCTTCTGTATCTTTACTTGGGAATGTTTCAAGTACCTGTTCAGACGTTCTGGATTATCCACAACGCGTGGTCTTTTTCCAGGAGAAGCACCACTAGGGATAGTCTGACTCTCGTCTTCCGAGTCAGATGATGAATACACAGCTGGAGGTGAAGGGAATAGTGGCTGCCTCACACCTGATGGTCCGGGTGTTGTTGGTCCGGGTGTTGTTGGCCCGGGTGTTGTTGGCCCGGGTGTTGTTGGCCCGGGTGTTGTTGGCCCGGGTGTTGTTGGTCCGGGTGTTGCAATATTGTCACCAGTAGATGTGCTCTCACTGTCATGTAAATCAGCAGCATGTGTGATGTTATCATTTTGCAGAGGCCAAATCTTAGGCTGAAAGTACAGTAGTGATTTAATGACTGCTTCGTGGAAATGGAGTAACGTGAGTTTCTTTGTATCTGTCGTGTAGTATTTGTATAACACATAAGCATTATGGATAGCCAGTTGCAGAAAGTAGAACGTCATTTTTTTCGTCCACTTGTGACTTTCTCGTGTGAATTGATATTTGAACTTTTGGTTGAAGTGATTAACACCTTTCAAATGTGTATTGTAGTCACAGATTGCATTTGGTTTGTTCACAGTTTCCTGTTGCAATGATGATGTTCCGTCACGTTTGCGTACACGTTTCTTTCGTTCCACTTGTTGTGTATCTGCATTGTGGCAAGTTGTGATGAGTGAAACAACTCGCTTATCATTCCACAGAATTATAAAAGTATTGTCCTTGCGTCGGAATAGAGTTTTACCTACTGGCATTTTACCCATTGCTTGGACCTGAAGATATTTAGGGGCACCACTCTGCAATCTGATAGTACCACAGGTGTATACACCTTGTTCATGCAGCAATTCACTCAATCGAACAGAATTATAATAGCTATCCATATATAAATGATAACCTTTGTTTTTCAGCGGTTCAATCAAACCCATAACCGTTTCGACCGTCTTTCCGATTCCTGCATACACCTCAAAATCATAGATGTAACCAGTCTGGGATTCAGCTAGCATGTAGAGCTTAATTCCATACTTGTCAGGTTTATTGGGATTACAAGGCTTGAGAGCTAGACGGTCACGCCATGCCATTGTGCCTTCACTGAGACTCAAATTTTTCTGAGGAATGTATAATGTCTTGAATTTCTGTGTGAGATATTGCTGGACTGATCGAACTTTGATTAGTCTGTCTGGATTGTCTTCTGGAATGGCATTATTGTTATAAATATGAAAATACTTTGAAATCATTTCATATCGTTTCCAAGTCATAAAAGTATTGAAGCAAGGTGCGTGCCAAAGTTTACCCGTTTGCCAGTACATTCTCATCTTTGGCAACCTCAAAATGCCCATCAAAATTGTCAGTCCCAAATATCGGGCCATCTCTTTTTCTCTCACTGGTTCCCATCTATTGCTTCTGTTGGTCGCAGTACGTGCATTGCTTTGGGTCGCATACAAGTTAGTCTCATAGACCAGAAATTTCAGCAAACTTGGCGTAAGAAATAATTGTACAAATCCCAGAGGAGTGCTCGGTACAGGGCAAGTCAAGCCTGGTGTTCCTGTAAACCTGTCTACCAAGGGAGGAGTATTGTCAGTAGACCAAGCATCATCAGAACTTGTTGGCGGGGTACGTGAGGTACGTGTTCCAATACCACGCCGTGCACGTGTGGCAGTCTGATCATCATCATCCTCGCTCTCCTCACTTTCATCATCATCATCTGATGTTTCCGTTTCACTGAATTCACTATCAAAATCACTGTCACTATCGGCATTTTCCATATCAGAATAATCATCAGATATACCCAGAAATTTTGAGGGTGAAAGCCTCGCCCTACTGTACGTTTGGAATACACTTCTCAGCTTCTCTCTCCATAGTGTTTCTTTCATCGATTGCTTCCTGCATCGGCTCTGTTCTTGATCACCATCCATCCTGGAGTAACTGCAGAGAGTCTTCTAAACCCGCAGTAAGAAATATAGCCGAGGAAAACAGCCAGAACATTCACACGTTAGGGAGGCGATGGAGGAGGCCGGAGCGGTTACTCTCCCGGGACAATAACAATGGGCCTCCTGCCCGGGGGCGCACGTGGGCCCTCACGGAAAACGGGAAGACGCGGCCATCACAGAAAATGGGAAGAACTGGCCATAATAGAATATGGGAAGAACTGACCATAACAGAATATGGGAAGAACTGACCATAACAGAATATGGGAAGACATGGTTATCACAGAGAATGGGAAGAACTGACCATAAACAGAATCTGGGAAGAACTGACCATAACAATATGGGAAGACATGGTTATCACAGAGAATGGGAAGAACTGACCATAACAATATGGGAAGACATGGTTATCCCAGAGAATGGGAAGGACTGACCATAACAGAATATGGGAAGACATGGCCATCACAGAGTGGGAAGAACTGGCCATCACAGAAAATGGGAAGAACTGGCCATAACAGAATATGGGAAGACATGGCCATCACAGTGGGGGGGGAAGAATTGGCCATCACGGAAAATGGGAAGACGTTGGCGCCATTTTCTAAACCAGTCCCCCCCCCCCCCCCCGCAAAAAAAATCTATGAATATTTAAGTGAGTGGGTAGCAGAAGATAGTGTATTCACCTAGTTGTATTTACCTAGTGTGAGTCTGAAGCAGACCTAGCTTCCTTAACCTAGCTTAAGCTTCCTTAACCTAGCTTAAGCTTCCTTAACCTAGCTTAGTCTGGCTTAACCTAGCTTAGCCCCATCACACACCTCTCAACAAAAATTACAGGAAAGAAGGCAGTAAACAAACAAAAAAATAATCCCCAACCGGTTATCGCATTCACATAAGATAGCGGCGACTGGTGCATATAAACACCCTCATAACTCCCAACACCTGCGCACTAAACCGCTCCACATGTGCCCCCACTCAACACCTGCACACCCAGGGCCACATACTCACCATGTAGCAGGTTAAACTCGATGAAAAACTCGTCAAAACAGGCCTCGGTGAGGACCAGGAGGCTCAGCTGCCGGAAGATGGCGGCCATGTTTACATCTGCATCAGCTGGCCGCCACCCCCGCTGCCAGCCGCACGACGCTCGCATTCACATCAATAATAATTGATATGAATCAATTATCAATTGATATTGAATTTATATGAATCAATTATCACAATGAAATGACCATTGTGACATTCACATCAATAATAATTGATATAAATCAATTATCACAATGAAATGACCATTGTGTCATTCACATCAATAATAATTGATATAAATCAATTATCACAATGAAATGACCATTGTGACATTCATATCAATCATAATTGATCTAAATTTAACAATTTAGTAACTCATTGTGTCCGGGGACAGGCAGCCTGGGTGTTTTTATAAGGATTATATCCAGCCCCCCAAAGCTAAATAACTGCTGGGTATCTATGGCTGCTAGGGTGAACAGGTGCATGAGGTGAGAGGAAACACGCCCCATCATCTTGCCTGGGATTCGAACCCGCTATTCTCGATTGTGATTCTGCAGATACTATTTGTATCTGCAGAATCGAGCTATTAGCTCTTGGACCCCGCCTTTCTAACGGGGGTCTTTTTCCTGTACCTGCCAGTGGTAGAGAAGGAACCACAACTTACTCACTTCCTGTATTTTCAGCTATGTAAGATGGGCGGGTAGCAGCTGTCTATCTCACAGGTACCTATTTACTGCTAGGTGAACAGGCGCATCAGAGGGGGAAAGAAACTCTGCCCATTTGTTTCCGCCTTCACCGGGGATCGAACCCAAAGGCCCCTTAGGACTACGAACCCCGAAAGCTGTCCACTCAGCTATCAAGCCCCTATATCTGCCCCAGTCAGACCTCACATTAAAACATTGCCTAAATAGAGTAGGCCTACATGAGGCAGGGTTCATGGCGGGTACTTACCTATGCTCACTTACCTACCATTACCTTTACTTACAGAGGGGGCTTCGTAGCCTGGTGGATAGCGCGCAGGACTCGTAATTCTGTGGCGCGGGTTCGATTCCCGCACGAGGCAGAAACAAATGGGCAAAGTTTCTTTTACCCTGAATGCCTCTGTTACCTAGCAGTAAATAGGTACCTGGGAGTTAAGTCAGCTGTCACGGGCTGCTTCCTGGGGGTGGAGGCCTGGTCGAGGACCGGGCCGCGGGGACACTAAAGCCCCGAAATCATCTCAAGATAACCTAAAGGACTACACGGAAGTGAGATCTAGCTCCGGTCCCCCGCCTCCTGGCTGCGGGTCTTAGGTAGAAATACACGAGAACATTGTCATTGATGAATCAGTACGACCTCCACCTCAACAGAGATTTCTGATAACATTCAAGCAGAGTTCCTGGCTACTGACCAGCAGAAAATAACTTAAATATTTATATAATTCCAAGGTTTCCTTGCTGTCATTCTGCGTCATTGCCAATGTTCTTTTAGTTAATTTTATACGTAATGCTGGAATGATATAGTCGTAGATAATGACTAAAAGCAGTTCCTCAATATGCCCCCCTGGAGATATCTCTCATACCCTCTTCCAAATTATGAAATTAAACAAGTTAAAATTAAAATAATATATAGACAATTGGCCACTCTAATGGCCGTGACTTGGGATGACTTTCTTGCTCGCAAGTGCAGAAACACTGAGTGCAACGCTTGCATTTATTTATATACCTGCTATTCATATGCCTTCAATGGGCAGCTAAAACAGTAGGTGTAACAACATTCTACTTAATGTATATACAGTAGTGTTTATTTTAGTAAGGCGACATTTGACAAGTCGCCGGCTTCCTGTCCTCTTCGTGGCCACTAGACTATTAGTGGCCCCTCACGTAAATACAGAGAATTGGAATACTCTTTTCACCCTAATATAATCGGTCCGAGTCCTTACAACCACAGTGAAGGTCGCAACCCGTTCTCGCAAATTTAATAAGTCAATATTGACTTATTAAATATGTGCATAGGTGACATACTTAACATAATAGATACCCTTAAAAAGATTCATAGAAAACACCGACCTTACCTAACCTTGTTAGTATCTTAAGATAAGCATCTTATTGCTTCGTAATTACAATTATTACCTAACCTATAATAGGTATAGGTTAAGTAATAATTGTAATTACGAAGCAATAAGATGCTTATCTTAAGATACTAACAAGGTTAGGTAAGGTCGGTGTTTTCTATGAGTCTTTTTAGGGGTATCTATTATGTTTAGTATATCACCTATGCACGTAGTTAATAAGTCAATATTGACTTTACGAATTTGCGAGGTCGAATCATCAACATGGAGGGAAGAATTACATGCGGGGTCCCGCAGGGTTCAACACGAGGACCCGCAGCCTATTGCGATTCATATAAATCATCTCCCAGATGCTATGGACGTCATCATATCATCTAATATATATTTGGATTATCAAATTCTCTGGCTAGGTACCGATCGGAGGCTAATGTACACATTGTGGTCGTGTACATCTTTCCTCAATCTTTGACGGCTTTGGTTACATTTATTAAACAGTTTACAAACATGAAAACTTGCCAATCAACTGTTGTTATTGTTATAAACAGCCTCTTAGTGCTTCGGAGCTCATTAACTGTTTAATAATTGTAAACAAAGCCGCCAAAGATTGAGAGAAGATGTACAGGTTCGTAAGTGCTTTCGTGAATCTGACCCCAGGTTTGTGCCAGTGAAGTTAAAGAGATACCAATAACAGTAATTATCTATAAAATACACATATGAATATGTAATTACTATGTTTAATTTGCACGCACGGATATTGCATACATTTATCACACTTATTATGTCGCCCGAGACACATACAACCGGCAACAGCTTCACAAATAATGTCTATATCCACAATTTATGGAACTGCCTACCCGCCGAAGCCGTAAATGCTAAGATATTATTGCTTCGGTTCAAAATCCAGTTCATCCTCATGACAAATGAGGACGCAATTTTGACAACCTGCCGGCTTCTTGCCCCTGTCGAGGCCACTACAGACAGATAGAGACCCTCAGGTAAATTCGGGTAAATAAATACGCCAAGGAAGAGACATATGAGGCTCAAGATATTAATTATATCAGGGGGATAGGCTATTCCTACTAATCTAAATTAATTATATCAGGGGGATAGGCTATCCTATCTATAGATAAGCTATTCCTACTAATCTAAATTAACTATATCAGGGGGGATAGGCTATCCTATCTATAGATAGGCTATTCCTACTAATCTAAACTAATTATATCAGGGGGATAGGCTATCCTATCTATAGATAGACAATCTTGAGGTTATCTTGAGATGATTTCGGGGCTTAGCGTCCCCGCGGCCCGGTCCTCGACCAGGCCTCCTTTTTGTTACACACCCCCAGGAAGCAGCCCGTAGCAGCTGTCTAACTCCCAGGTACCTATTTACTCCTAGGTGAGCAGGGGCATCAGGGGTGAAAGAAACATTTTGCCCATTTGTCTCCGCCTCCACCGGAGATCGAACTCGGAATCAATTCTGTCTTATGGACTTAATCTTGTGATTTCATTGTGCAAGACTGAAGGAAGTTATACACGAGGATCTGGACAGACTAAGAATGATCTATGTGGCTACTAGAGTTAAACAGAAGTAAGTGTAATGATCAATTATTATTAATTATTAAGTGTAAAGTAAGGAGAGCTGGGAACAGGTGGCAGGATATCAGATAAGTTATCACATGTGAGGGATAACCCATCCTGGAGTAGGTCAGAAAGTCCTGATAGAGATTAATGAAGCTAAATTTATCTGAGGACCAACATCTCTAGCAGCCTAAACGGACACGGAGTCTGTTGACCAGACCACACACTAGAAGGTGAAGGGACGACGACGTTTCGGTCCGTCCTGGACCATTCTCACAATCGACTTGAAAATGGTCCAGGACGGACCGAAACGTCGTCGTCCCTTCACTTTCTAGTGTGTGGTCTGGTCAACATACTTCAGCCACGTTATTGTGACTCATCGCCTGCACAGAGTCTATCACAGATTAAGAAAGTAATTAGAAACAGAGCAATGCAGATGATGTACAGTGACCACAACACAGCAGTTGCTACATCAGGATCTGCGGGTTGGTACAAGAATTCAGCCAACTACGAACCACTTAGTTTGATGAAAGTGAGCAGTAGAGCAGCAGAAGTACACTTACATCAGACTGGGATACCCATGTGCATGGGGAATAGGCTTACAGGTTCCGGAAGATGAGAGGAAATGTCAACACTGTGGAGAAATGCCCGACAGACCACTGGAACATTATCTAACACAGTGCACAGTTACAAACCCGTTAAGATTTCACCTTAGATTCAACGGAGCAGAAGAAGTTGTTAAACACACGGGGCAAAATCTTGCTGAAGCGACCATACGAGTTATAAATACTCATACTCCGCCCAAGTAAAACAGAAACAAGCAACATTTAGTGGGCCAGCCAGAGGCTTAGGACCCGCCCAGTGGGCCAGCCAGAGGCTTAGGGCCCGCCCAGTGGGCCAGCCAGAGGCTTAGGGCCCGCCCAGTGGGCCAGCCAGAGGCTTAGGGCCCGCCCAGTGGGCCAGCCAGAGGCTTAGGGCCCGCCCAGTGGGCCAGCCAGAGGCTTAAGGGCCGCCCAGTAGGCCAGCCAGAGGCTTAGGGCCCGCCCAGTGGGCCAGCCAGAGGCTTAGGGCCCGCCCAGTGGGCTAGCCAGAGGCTTAGGGCCCGCCCAGTGGACCAGCCAGAGGCTTAGGGCCCGCCCAGTGGGCCAGCCAGAGGCTTAGGGCCCGCCCAGTGGGCCAGCCAGAGGCTTAGGGCCCGCCCAGTGGGCCAGCCAGAGGCTTAGGGCCCGCCCAGTGGGCTAGCCAGAGGCTTAGGGCCCGCCCAGTGGGCCAGCCAGAGGCTTAGGGCCCGCCCAGTGGGCCAGCCAGAGGCTTAGGGCCCGCCCAGTGGGCTAGCCAGAGGCTTAGGGCCCGCCCAGTGGGCCAGCCAGAGGCTTAGGGCCCGCCCAGTGGGCCAGCCAGAGGCTTAGGGCCCGCCCAGTGGGCCAGCCAGAGGCTTAGGACCCGCCCAGTGGGCCAGCCAGAGGCTTAGGGCCCGCCCAGTGGGCCAGCCAGAGGCTTAGGGCCCGCCCAGTGGGCCAGCCAGAGGCTTAGGGCCCGCCCAGTGGGCCAGCCAGAGGCTTAGGGCCCGCCCAGTGGGCCAGCCAGAGGCTTAGGGCCCGCCCAGTGGACCAGCCAGAGGCTTAGGGTCCGACCAGTGGGCCAGCCAGAGGCTTAGGGCCCGCCCAGTGGGCCAGCCAGAGGCTTAGGGCCCGCCCAGTGGGCCAGCCAGAGGCTTAGGGCCCGCCCAGTGGGCCAGCCAGAGGCTTAGGGCCCGCCCAGTGGGCCAGCCAGAGGCTTAGGGCCCGCCCAGTGGGCCAGCCAGAGGCTTAGGGCCCGCCCAGTGGGCCAGCCAGAGGCTTAGGGTCCGCCCAGTGGGCCAGCCAGAGGCTTAGGGCCCGCCCAGTGGACCAGCCAGAGGCTTAGGGCCCGCCCAGTGGGCCAGCCAGAGGCTTAGGGCCCGCCCAGTGGGCCAGCCAGAGGCTTAGGGCCCGCCCAGTGGGCCAGCCAGAGGCTTAGGGCCCGCCCAGTGGGCCAGCCAGAGGCTTAGGGCCCGCGCAGGAATATCCCTGCAAACAAACAAAAAAATGCCTTGACGGGGATAGGAAGCCAGCGGCTTGTCAAAGGTCTCCCATTTTTCTTGTGAATTTTAACAGTAAACTAACTCCCAGGCACCTATTTACTGCTAGGTGAACAGAAGCATTAGGTGACCAAAAACTTGCCCAACCATTTCTATCGAGCTCGGGACTCGAACCCGACATTGCCGATTGTGAATCGAGAATGAACTCATCTGTGCTCCCGAGACGCTACGGGTGAAAAAGGATATGCTGTTGTCTGTCCTCGACAAGCCGCCGGCTTCCTGTCCTCGCCGAGGCCACAAGTGTTAGTGGCTCTTTGATAAATCAGGAAAGCATGGCGTGTTCAGAGAGAATTATCAGGGGGGAAAGTGCCAAACCGTCACGACTATATAGCACTTGAAAGGGGCCAGGACAAGGATTTGGGATGGGACGGAGGGAAGGAATGGTGCCCCAACCACTTGTATGGACGGTCGGGGGATTGAACGCCGACCATGCATCAAACAAAACCGTCGCTCTACCGTCCACCCCCAAGTGATTGATACGAAGCTTTGAACCCTTATATTGGCTACATATGACCTTTAAAATAAATAATCTGTCAATGTGTTTAGTATTTTACACAGGCTTCCTGTCCCTGATAACAGGGCTCGATACTAGAGCAGGCTCTCGACCTTCCAGGAGAGCAACAACAATCAAGTGTAACATCAACCAGGTATCCTGGGGAAGGCCAGTCACTGGAGGAGGTCACTATCGGTTCAGAAGTCCTCTGGGACTCCCAATTACTATAGTCCCCCCTAACACACTGGGACTCCCATCTACTATAGTTCCCCCTAACACACTGAGACTCCCATCTACTATAGTCCCCCCTAACACACTGGGACTCCGATCTACTATAGTTCCCCCTAACACACTGGGACTCCCAATTACTATAGTCCCCCCTAACACACTGGGACTCCCATCTACTATAGTCCCCCCTAACACACTGGGACTCCCAATTACTATAGTCCCCCCTAACACACTGGGACTCCCATCTACTATAGTCCCCCCTAACACACTGGGACTCCCATCTACCATAGTCCCCCCTAACACACTGGGACTCCCATCTACTATAGTTCCCCCTAACACACTGGGACTCCCATCTACTATAGTCCCCCCTAACACACTGGGACTCCCATCTACTATAGTCCCCCCTAACACACTGGGACTCCCATCTACCATAGTCCCCCCTAACACACTGGGACTCCCATCTACTATAGTTCCCCCTAACACACTGGGACTCCCATCTACTATAGTCCCCCCTAACACACTGGGACTCCCATCTACTATAGTCCCCCCTAACACACTGGGACTCCCATCTACTATAGTCCCCCCTAACACACTGGGACTCCCATCTACTATAGTCCCCCCTAACACACTGGGACTCCCATCTACTATAGTCCCCCCTAACACACTGGGACTCCCATCTACTATAGTTCCCCCTAACACACTGGGACTCCCATCTACTATAGTCCCCCTAACACACTGGGACTCCCATCTACTATAGTCCCCCCTAACACACTGGGACTCCCATCTACCATAGTCCCCCCTAACACACTGGGACTCCCATCTACTATAGTCCCCCCTAACACACTGGGACTCCCATCTACCATAGTCCCCCCTAACACACTGGGACTCCCATCTACTATAGTTCCCCCTAACACACTGGGACTCCCATCTACTATAGTCCCCCTAACACACTGGGACTCCCATCTACTATAGTCCCCCCTAACACACTGGGACTCCCATCTACTATAGTCCCCCCTAACACACTGGGACTCCCATCTACTATAGTCCCCCCTAACACACTGGGACTCCCATCTACCATAGTCCCCCCTGGGCGAGAGCGGCGGGCGCCGTGCTCTGTGGTGCGGGAGGCGGAGGTGGCGCCGTAGCGGCGTGAGAGCGAGCAGGTGTTGTCAAACTGGCCTGGGAGGTGGACCGCTCGGCCTCCCTCCCTCCACTCTCCACTTCTATCCCGTAATTACGCACCTATCCTCTCTATACGCTCGCCTCTGTGTGTGGCCCGGGAGCTGAGGCTCGAGTGTGTGTGTGTGGTTTCAGACTTGGATTTCGAGTGTGATCTTAGACTTCTGATGGATCGAGTGTGATCTTAGACTCCTGATGGATCGAGTGTGATCTTAGACTCCTGATGGATCGAGTGTGATCTTAGACTCCTGATGGATCGAGTGTGATCTTAGACTCCTGATGGATCGGTTGCTCACTTCGACCTTCAAGGAGGACCTTAAGGAGGATCTTATGGGACGTCTCATAAGGAGGACGTTATGGGACGTCTCATAAGGAGGACCTTATGAAGACCTATAAGGTCTTCCTTATGGGACGATTGCGTAGTGGAGCGATTGTGTGGGGGTTTTACATATGTTTTTATTGGTTTATACCTTCTAAAATGTGTGTTTTATGGGTAGTTTATTGGAAATACGAGTGTTTGAGTCCTGTTTTGTATTTGGGTTTTATTCAGGGGCCAAAAGGAGTAGTCGTGATAGGTCATTGCTGATCTCTAATCAAACCTAAGCTAGCATAGCTTAGCGTAAGCTAATCTGTTGTATCCTGTCGTAACCTAACAAGAAATAAAAAATAGTCGTTTGTGCGTGCGCTCTGCGACATGTGTGACATCGGTGAGGTAAATCAGGCTGTATTCCCAGCGATTTTTGTATATTACTGCTTAGTTTGGCGATCACTATATATAAATCAAGTTATTTCGTCTACAGGCATTTAATATGATCCTGTGGTCCTGGGATCGATCCCAGGCGCCGGCGAGAAACAATGGGCAGAGTTTCTTTCATCCTATGTCCCTGTTACCTAGCAGTAAAATAGGTACCTGGGTGTTAGTCAGCTGTCACGGGCTGCTTCCTGGGGGTGGAGGCCTGGTCGAGGACCGGGCCGCGGGGACACTAAAGCCCCGAAATCATCTCAAGATAACCTCAAGAAGATCCCCCCCCCTTCCTCCCCCTGTAATGTCACACTACTGTATACACTTTCCCCAGCGTGCAACCCCCCACAACAGTTGCCTAACTCGCAGGTACTTACCTTGAGGTTACCTTGAGGTGCTTCCGGGGCTTAGCGTCCCCGCGGCCCGGTCGTCGACCAGGCCTCCTGGTTGCCGGACTGATCAACCAGGCTGTTGGACGCGGCTGCTCGCAGCCTGACGTACGAGTCACAGCCTGGTTGATCAGGTATCCTTTGGAGGTGCTTATCCAGTTCTCTCTTGAACACTGTGAGGGGTCGGCCAGTTATGCCCCTTATGTGTAGTCAATGTCACTTGCAGGCAATGAGTCACAATAACGGGGCTAAAGTATGTTGACCAGACCACACACACTAGAAGGTGAAAGGACGACGATGTTCCGGTCCGTCCTGGACCATTCTCAAGTCGATCGTCCAGGACCGACCGAAACGTCGTCGTCCCTTACCTTCTAGTGTGTGGTCTGGTCAACAATCCCAGGTACTTACTGCTGTGAAGAGAGGCATCAGGTGAAAGAAAACGTGCCCTGTCCCATCCGGGGGTCGAACCTTGGATCCCCGATGACGCGTCGAGGACGAAGACTACTGTACCACAGAACCCTTATCTTTGTAATGACTTTACTGGAAGTTAAATTTTTGCGAATCTAACGAGTGGAATTCATTAGTGAATGTGTGTTTATTTCCAGAGTGAGAGGAGCAGATGACTGTGCCAGAACATGCTCAAAAGGATAACACGATGGCTGTGGAAATCAAGGTTTTGACCATAAATGTGTGGTAAGCCGAATTTTCTAACTTTTATGTCGCTGAATCGGTGTGTGAGAAATCATGCTAAAGGGAATTTTAATTAATAATAATAATAATAATAATAATAATAATAATTTTTATTTAGGTAATGTACATACATAAAGAGATTTTACAAAGTTTGTTGGCTTTATAGATAGAGCTAGTACATACAATGCCTAAAGCCACTATTACGCAAAGCGTTTCGGGCAGGTTCTCTTCTCTTAAACTATGCTTAAAGTACTATATATGTATCACATATGCTTAAACGTACATAACTATCTACGGGCTCACCATAGCCCGTGTTACTTGGAACTTTTTGTTCCATGTAGCGAATCTTTTAACAACAGCTTAAAAGTACCATACTAAAAGACCATTTATATTTTATTGGTGAATGAGTTTATTTGTATACATTTCATCCCCAGTAATATATACACTTAAGTTTTGTCTCGTCACGCCACCCGTTCTCTCTTCCTATTACCATATCGAAGTTCTGTAGCATTACAACAACCACCACTAATACACCGCAACTATACATCACTACATCATCCCTCCCCCCCCAACTCTACAGCTACAATCACTCTACTGTACAGTCACAACCCCCCCCCCCAACACTACACCAATAACCTAATATTGCAGCTACATCCACCCAACTTGTCAACCACATCCTCTCAATTTCAGCCACATCCACCCAACTCGACAACTACATTCTCTCAATTTCAGCCACATCCACCCAACTCGACAACTACATCCTCTCAATTTCAGCCACATCCACCCAACTCGACAACTACATCCTCTCAATTTCAGCCACATCCACCCAACTCGACAACTACATCCTCTCAATTTCAGCCACATCCACCCAACTCGACAACTACATCCTCTCAATTTCAGCCACATCCACCCAACTCGACAACTACATCCTCTCAATTTCAGCTACATACACCCAACTAAACTACATCCTAACAATTTCAGAAGTTGAGCAAGTCACTAATGTTAAGGCCACACCTAGGGGGAGAATTACTAGGAGACAATTGGTCAAAGTTGGCCAGCACTGTAGAAGAGCCGGTCGGCTGAGCAGACAGCACGCTGGACTTGTGATCCTGTGGTCCCGGGTTCGATCCCGGGCGCCGGCGGGAAACAATGGGCAGAGTTTCTTTCACCCTATGCCCCTGTTACCTAGCAGTAAAATAGGTACCTGGGTGTTAGTCAGCTGTCACGGGCTGCTTCCTGGGGGTGGAGGCCTGGTCGAGGACCGGGCCGCGGGGGGCCCGGTGTAATGCATTGCCAAAATGCATATACAATACACTAATACAATACTCAGTTCTTGGCATATATTTTTTATTTGATTTGTCCATTCCAATAATTTTCATGCAAAGTTTAATTTTTTTTAGGGGCATACCTGGCATTTCCAAGAACCGGGAAGCTCGCATGGAAGCAATTGCCAACCAACTCGTAACTGGACCAGATGAATTTGATTTTGTATTTCTCCAAGAGATTTGGTCGAAGGCTGACTATTGCTTTTTAGCTTCTAAGGTAAGTAAGTACAGTAATAAAACCATTACGATTTTGTTGTGAATTTTGTCACGTAACATTTTTCAGGTGAGGCCTCGGTGAATAAACAAATCACAAATTCCTGCATAGGTTGCACAAGGGCTGAACAAACTTAGAGATATAGGCATAGAGATGTGGTTGCCAGAGGAACACACACAGAATATTGTGCGTCGCTTTCCAACTTCAGACTTGCTTTTAATTATGGATGGTGAAACACTAAAGAAATTGTTCATGATTTTTGTGAGACCGAAATTGAAATATGCAGCAGTTGTATGGTGTCCAATTCTCAAGAAGCTCATAAATAAACTAGAAAAGGTGCAACAGCATTTTGGAGATATATACAAGAGTTGTTACATTCTTGTAGAGCCACTAGTACGCGTAGCGTTTCGGGCAAGTCCTTAATCCTATGGTCCCTGGAATACGATCCCCTGCCGCGAAGAATCGTTTTTTCATCCAAGTACACATTTTCCTGTTGCGTTAAACAGAGGCTACAGTTAAGGAATTGCGCCCAGTAAATCCTCCCCGGCCAGGATACGAACCCATGACATAGCGCTCGCGGAACGCCAGGCGAGTGTCTTACCACTACACCACGGAGACTGTCATTTTGTAGCATGCTACAAAATGGCTTCCGGAGCTGAAAAAAACAGGAATTATGAGGAGAGACTAGAGGCGTTAAACATGCCAAAACTCGAAGATAGAAGAGAGGTGATATGATCACCGATTACAAAATACTAACAGGAAATACTAATAGTCTGAATTGACAAAGAGGAATTCCTGAAACCAGCAATTTCACTAAAAAGAAGACACAGATTCACGCTAAGAAAACAAAGGTGCCAAAAATATATTGGAAAATTCTCTTGTGCAAACAGAGCGGTAGACGGAACAAGTTAACTTTGATTCGTCAGACCAGATAATAGATCATTGATTGTAGTTCGGAATCTTACACATTTTCTATCAAAGACGAGATATTTTACATCATGTCAACATTAGAAAAATGAACAGAAATTAGCTTAGGATTATGGGGTGCACAGTACACTACCACTCACAGGATGAGTATGGGGAGCACAATAAACTACCACTCACAGGATGAGTATGGGGTGCACAATAAACTACCACTCACAGGATGAGTATGGGGTGCACAATAAACTACCACTCACAGGATGAGTATGGGGTGCACAATAAACTACCACTCACAGGATGAGTATGGGGTGCACAATACACTACCACTCACAGGATGAGTATGGGGTGCACAATAAACTACCACTCACAGGATGAGTATGGGGTGCACAATAAACTACCACTCACAGGATGAGTATGGGGTGCACAATAAACTACCACTCGTAGGATGAGTATGGGGTGCACAATACACTACCACTCACAGGATGAGTATGGGGTGCACAATTAACTACCGCTCACAGGATGAGTATGGGGAGCACAATAAACTACCGCTCACAGGATGAGTATGGGGTGCACAATAAACTACCGCTCACAGGATGAGTATGGGGTGCACAATAAACTACCACTCACAGGATGAGTATGGGGTGCACAATAAACTACCGCTCACAGGATGAGTATGGGGTGCACAATACACTACCACTCACAGGATGAGTATGGGGTGCACAATAAACTACCACTCACAGGATGAGTATGGGGTGCACAATAAACTACCACTCACAGGATGAGTATGGGGTGTACAATAAACTACCACTCACAGGATGAGTATGGGGTGCACAATAAACTACCGCTCACAGGATGAGTATGGGGTGCACAATACACTACCACTCACAGGATGAGTATGGGGTGCACAATACACTACCACTCACAGGATGAGTATGGGGTGCACAATAAACTACCACTCACAGGATGAGTATGGGGTGCACAATACACTACCACTCACAGGATGAGTATGGGGTGCACAATAAACTACCACTCACAGGATGAGTATGGGGTGCACAATAAACTACCACTCACAGGATGAGTATGGGGTGCACAATAAACTACCGCTCACAGGATGAGTATGGGGTGCACAATAAACTACCGCTCACAGGATGAGTATGGGGTGCACAATAAACTACCGCTCACAGGATGAGTATGGGGTGCACAATAAACTACCACTCACAGGATGAGTATGGGGTGCACAATAAACTACCGCTCACAGGATGAGTATGGGGTGCACAATAAACTACCGCTCACAGGATGAGTATGGGGTGCACAATAAACTACCGCTCACAGGATGAGTATGGGGTGCACAATAAACTACCGCTCACAGGATGAGTATGGGGTGCACAATAAACTACCACTCACAGGATGAGTATGGGGTGCACAATAAACTACCACTCACAGGATGAGTATGGGGTGCACAATAAACTACCGCTCACAGGATGAGTATGGGGTGCACAATAAACTACTCACTGTCGGTAGTGGTAAACAAATCAGTAATGGAATAGGTTTTTGGAGGCTGGAGATAATTGATAAAAATAAACATTAGACATCTTTTCATTTTGGTTGTGATTGGCGATTAAAAAGTTTTTCTTAAAAAAAAATAATAAAAAATATAATTTTTGGCATGATAACTTTGTAATATAGATAAATGTTGTATGTTAAATCCTGCCTCATTAAGCTAGACAGGATGTTCTCCAATCTCTGCTAGGATAGAACGTTGGTGTTAGACAGGATGTTCTCTAATCTCTGCAAGGATAAAATGTTGCGTGTATGGTACTCGCCTAACTGTGCTCATCTAACTGGATTTACCCGCGAGAGTGAGGGGGGGATTGAACTTCCTAACTTCGTGTACAATTACATGAACTTCATGTAACTTCATGTATAATTATATGAACTTCATGTAACATATTCATTAATGATGACACAAACCACAAACGGCTCAATTTCTCCATCTTCTGATTTGTGGTTTGGTCATAATATCAGTTCGCAGACAAGACAGAAATATATCTGACTTAGGAGGGGTCCCGGTAGTACAGTTGGGTTCGTTCTCGACGCTCAATCGAGAATTCCGGGTTCGAATCCCGGAGCGGGACAGAAATGGTTGGGCACATTTCCTTTCACCTAATGCCGCTGTTCACCTAGCAGCAAGTAGGTAACCAGGAGTTAGTCAGTTTGTTGTGGGGTTGGACAAGATGGATGGACTGCATCCATCAATCTCTTGAGACTGATGGATGCCTACTGTGGGGGCATCCCACAGTGCCCCCACTGTGGGATGCCCACAGATAATGATGAGAAAAATAACTCCACTGATAGATAAGCCTGCAATAAGTACACCATGGGAACTGTAAACAAAAACCCAAGACTTTTCATCACACTTTGGAAATATGAAGGGAATTACTTAGTGAAGCTAAATTGTGTTAAAAAGTAACTTGATAATCGCCTATAAAGGATTTCTAATCAAACAGGCTGTGTCGTTGAATTCGTGAGTACCTGCAATACGGGGTGGTGCAGCCCTTGTGGCGCAGTCACAACACACTCGCCCTGTGCTTTACGAGCGCTTTGGCCTGGGTTCGTATCCTGGCCTGGGAGGATTGACTAGGTGCCAATTTTTAACTTTAGGCCTCTGTTCACCCAGCAGTGATTGGGTACCTGGTTGTTAAATGATTTGGCGGTTCGTATTCCAGGGAAAGTTAGGAATAAAATAAAAAAATAAAAACCTACTGTAGGCTACAGGTACAAACCAAAAGTTTGGCTGATCAGGCCACTAACCAGAAGGCGTGCACTGACAAGGCTGTAGAGGATCAGCAACTTCTGGAACCAATGGTAACTACGAACACAACCAGGCGAATGCATTTCGGTTATCTTCAAATGTAGCAAAGACACCATCTTGAGCTTATCTTGAGATGATTTCGGGGCTTTAGTGTCCCCGCGGCCCGGTCCTCAACCAGGCCTCCACCCCTAGGAAGCAGTACGTGACAGCTGACTAACACCCAGGTACCTATTGTACTGCTAGATAACAGGGGCATATGGTGAAAGAAACTCTGCCCATTGTTTCTCGCTGGCGCTCGAGATCGAACCCGGGACCACAGGATCACAAGTCCAGCGTGCTGTTCCCTCAGCCGACCGGCTCCCTCGCCGGTCGGCCGAGCGAACCATAGACACGATATTTCAGTAAGACCTTAATAAACAGTTATTACAGTGCTCTACTTCCTGCAGTAGTTTTCTACAGTGCTTTTCTCACGAGACTGGTAAGCAGAGTAAGGATAAGCAGATGATGAGTCACAATTATGTGGCTGAAGATATGATGACCAAACAACACGCCAGAAGATGAGGAGACGACGATGTCCGTTCTGGATCATTATCAAGTCAGTTGTCACAATCGATTATCACAATCGACTCGATAACGGTCCAGGACGCACCGAAACGTTGCCGTCTCCTCTTCTGGTGTGTGGTTTAGTCATCAGGGTAAGGACAAGTTTCGTCAGCTATATAAAGCATGGAGGTAACTATTTATTTGTATTCCTAAGAACACAAGAATAAAGGAAACTGTTGATGACCTACAGTGCCAGCCAAGGCGGCTCCTACATATAACCACCCAATCTCATTCATGCATGCACATATGTCTAATCTATGCTTGAAACAGTCTAGCGATGGCATGTCTGTTAAGTTACACGGTAATTTGTTCCATAAATCTACAAAGCCTAATTCGGAACTAATTCATTACCGATGTCTTTCCAGGTAAATAAAGTGTTGCCTTTTGCTCACTACTTCTTCAGCGGCGTTATCGGGTCAGGAATGTGCATCTTCTCCCGCTCACCGATCACCGAAGTCTACTTTCACAAATTCACCCTCAACGGCTTCCCTCACAAGATCAACCATGGCGACTGGTGGGGTGGCAAAGGTGTGGCCTTGTGCAAGAGCACGCGCTACGGAATTCCTTTCATCCTAGCTAACACGCACGTAAGTTGAACCTGCACGCCGCTCCCCGCTCCCCCTTCCCTGTTTTATTCTCTCCCACTAGCACCATGAATGTTTGAGTAGCAAAGCCCTTTTTTCTATGATATTTGTTGACTTTATTAACCTTATCCTCCACTGAATTTTTTTAAATGCATTTTATGTCAAATTTCTGTTATTTAAATTTACAGTACAACCCATTTTAGGATATTCCCTGACGATGTTTCACCATACAAGGGATCTTGGCCTGATTACTCGTCCACCAGGTCTTCGATATTAGATTATTTGAACACAGTATTAATTAAATAGGTGGGCTTATTGACCTTGATATTAACCACTAAATGGTACTACAGCAAAGTGCAATGCAACTAAAAAACATTAACAAATCAAATAGGAAATAATTGCATATGATGATTGTAACAGTGTAAAGGCTGAAGGTCAATTCATTCCTCGTATAATATTAGCATTAAGTAGCTGGGAAGGTGATAAGGTACATCTGAAGAAGAAAACAAATGGAGTTCGCTTGTTGATGGAGGCATAAACAGACAGTAGGGAGGGAGGGAGGGAATTATCAGGGGATAGAGCCAAGCCATTGTGACTATATAGCACTTGGAAGGGGTCACGATAAGGATTTAGGATGAGACAGATGGGAGAGGAATAGTGTACAACCACTTGGACGGTCGTCCAAGTGGTTGTACACTACGACCGTCCAAGTAGTTGTAGTGCCCAACCACTTGGACGGTCGGGGATTGAACGCCGACCTGCATGAATTGAGACTCGTTGCTCTACCGTCCACGCCCAAGTGATTGGGAACAGAGGCTGGAATGGATATGGTTTCCTGTCCCACACAAGCCCTTCCACAGTTAGTCTCATTATAGTCCCTAGTTTCCCATCTCTACTGTTCACCTATGCTAACAGTGAGTGGATGTTATGCTAACAGTGAGTGGATGTTATGCTAACAGTGAGTGGATGTTACGCTAACAGCGAGTGGATGTTACGCTAACAGCGAGTGGATGTTACGCTAGCAGTGTGTGGATGTTACGCTAACAGCGAGTGGATGTTACGCTAACAGCGAGTGGATGTTACGCTAACAGCGAGTGGATGTTACGCTAACAGTGAGTGGATGTACGCCAAAAGATATACACAAAATATGGCGGGGGGGGGGGGGGGGGGAGATAGCAAAATAGGCAGTCAAGTGACTTGCAGTTGTTAATAGCGTAGAGGGTTTGTTTACCGCAAAGACTCGTATTCTTGGTAGACTGTAGTTTTCCCGCTCGACATCTGGGGAAATTCTTATCGCCAGTGGGTTGTACTGTACCCGAAACATACCCGTTTATGTTGTGCACACACACACACCTCTTGTAATGCTGCATCTTGTTCCAAAAAAAAAAAAAAAGGGTTGGGAAGAAACATTATTTTGTACATAGCGGAAGTGGTTCGTTTTAGTTCTGCATCACAGTTTCTGTTGCTCTTTCCCACAGCTTCTAGGTGTCTACCAAAGTAAAGGTGTCACTGGACACCTATGTTGTTGTTCAAGAGGAAAGGAGAATGATGATGAAGAGCAACCAATAGTAAACAAAGTACCTTTATCTCATCTGCCTGTAGCTGTATTAGAAAGGATATATACTCTCGTATCCTTTTTTTGATTTTTTTTGGATGATTTGATATAATTGCCGCACACGCCTGATGCAAGTACCGCGTCCTGTACTTGTTGGCCATTTTTTCTTTTATTGTGTTTCTCGTTTGTTTTTGTTTTTCCTTTTTTTTTTTTGTTCTGGGTTATTTTGCTTTTAACTGGTAGTGTTTTGCCAGCTGTGTTGTCTTTGGGTTTCGTGTATCATTTTGCTCCGCGTAGCAGTGTGGTATCGTAACAACTATCTCAGGCTGTGTATTTTGAATATACTTTTATCCCCCCCCCCCTCCCCCATTCATAATCTACATCCAGTATGTATAATCCAGAGAAGAGGAATTTAGATTTGATGAATGCTATACACTTATAAAAATATAATGCTGTAATAATTTTGTTACGCTATATATTAGAATGTTAGTGGTTTATTAGTAGGTACAAATTGTATATTACATAAAGCCACTAGTACATAAAGCATTTCAGGCATAACTTATAATCCACTACTGTATTTTGAAACCATTAAAGAAAGGCTTAATTCACTTCACATGCGAAATGCTGCCACGAACGCGTCACAGTTGCCACATTCTACCGTTTGCCATTTCCATTCATGCTTAAAATCATCTAACATAAAATGCTTCCATAAAGTACTATGCTACCAAATGATGCAGTAAAAAATATTTCTTCAAAAATGTGATTTTTAACACTGTATTTTACGTTAGTTATTCCTGATTTGAGTGCTAATTGCCGTCAACAAATTGCGCTCAACGTAGAGAAAGTATTCACCTTGGCTTCGATGACGAGAAGCATAGTAGTTAGTGTGTGTAGGGAGCCGGTCGGCCGAGCGGACAGCACGCTGGACTTCTGATCCTGTGGTCCCGGGTTCGATCCCGGGCACCGGCGAGAAACAATGGGCAGAGTTTCTTTCACCCTATGCCTATGTTACCTAGCAGTAAAATAGGTACCTGGGTATTAGTCAGCTGTCACAGGCTGCTTCCTGGGGGCGGAGGCCTGGTCGAGGACCGGGCCGCCGGGACACTAAAAAGCCCCGAAATCATCTCAAGATAACCTCAAGATAGATCGGGGTCTAGAGCCTGGAGCAGGTATACAATACATATATCTCACTGTTCCTTGACGAGACTTGAATGGCATTTGTAATTTGTAATGGAATGCCTACTCGTTGTGTAACTCATTCTTCGTTTGAATTGCTGATTTAACATTACTTGAGTGTTTTGTGGTGCACATTAATTGAGAAATAAAATTTTTGTCACTAACAGTCCAATTTTTCAGTGAACAATTACACTGAAGCACCTTTTGCTATGATTACTTGTTTTTTGTGTTAACTGTCTGGTAGGCGATTCAAATTGTTAACTAATAGTTACAAATGGCAGATATTGCACCGCTTTTGCTATGCATGCTCCACTCTGCAGCTATTCTGCCTGATATTCAGTACTGATTTCGTAATGATCTCTATGGGATTTGTAAATGGTGGCCTTGGCCCCCCATTCACAAAGACGAAGCTGCTCCATCTATGGTACAGGACCCACAATTGAGTTTCTAAGAGTCAACCCATTCTTTAGGGAAATAGAAAGCTACACATCATAAATAATTCATTGGGGATAAATGATGATTTATCATTAAAACAAAAAAACATCTATATGACTGATTATCTGTATGTCCGGGAAAGGATTTCTCACATATACCCTCTGTAGAAGTACGATTTCAATTCCTAAGATAAAACAGGCGGATCATAGACAAATCAATAACCAAAAAAAAGTGGGTCATAAAGAAATGAAGAAAACACTTTGATTTTGTTGTATAATTGATAGTACATTGATTTTATTTCTTTGGAATTAACAGCTTCACGCAGAGTACAACAGAAAGAATGATGAATACGTTCACCATCGTGCTGTCCAAGCCTTCGAGACTTCCCAGCTGATCCGCTTGTTCCAAAAAGCCAAGGCGGTTCTCATATTTGCTGGCGACTTCAACTGCACACCCACAGATTTTGCCTACAGGATTGTCAAGTTCTATGGCAACCTGGTCGACACCTATACTGACAGTCCCACTAAGGTTAGTACTATACTTACGGCTACCTGGTCTACCAGGCCTGGTCGACGACCGGGCCGCGGGGTCGCTGAGTCCCGAAATCACCTCAAGGTAACCATAAAGTCTTGCCGAGATTGTCGTAGTGGTGTGTGTGTCAAGTTGTATGAAAACATGAACGACACCTATACTGACAATCCCACTATGGTTAGTACTTGCGGCTATCAAAAATTGCTATAATGATTTGTTTATAATCCCACTACATTGTAAAATAGTTGAGGCAAATTTGTATTATTTCGACTCACTACACACAGAGATCACACTAACGTGGTGCATCAAATGAACAAATCCACAAGGGCCGTGACGAGGATTCGAACCTGTGAATCCTCGTAGCTCAGTCGATTAAGGCAGCGTCTGGGATGCTCCCGGACGCAGGTTCGAATCCTCGTCCCGGCCCTTGTGGATTTGTTCATTGTATTATTTTGGTTCATATTCATAAATACTGTAATGTGGCATTAATACTGTACAAAATATGTTGTCCTTCAGTATTGGGAAATGTTATATTTAAATACCAGCATTGAAATTTAGTTTTTCTTTATACTAGGTTAGGTTAGGTTAGGTTGTTAGGTTAGGTTAGGTTAGGATAGGTTAGGCTGTTACATGCTGTAGTTCTAAAATATTGAAGGACACAATATTTTCTATCGACCAAAAAATAAGGTGATGTCCTCACCTTATTTATCGATGAAGGGCACTTCATCAATAAATAAGGTGAAGAGCACCCTTCCCTCTAAACACCACCACCCTCTACCTCCCTTGCCCCCACAAATGTACCCACTGTCCTATTCTTCCCTATTTCCTCTACACCTCTTGCCTGGGAAAGGTGCATTTATGTAGGGGCAGGAATTTACCAGATCAAAGGGTGAACAGAGGAATGAGATGCAACCCACAGCAGTTGTGGGGGAGGGGGGTTTTGGGAAACAGGGTGCGATTTGGAAACCGGTTTACAACCCACAACAGTGGGAACCTGTTGACCAACTAGGGGTGCTATAAAATAGGATAACTGTTGGAGCCAATGTTTTCTAAAAACCGGTGCCGGACCAACCAGGCTGTGGTGGGTATGTGGGCCGCTCCAAACAACAGCCTGGTGGACCAAACTCTCACAAGTCAAGCCTGGCCTCGGGCCGGGCTTGGACAGTAGAACAACTCCCAGAACCCCATCAACCAGGTATATGTGGGCCTGCGGGCCGCTCCAAGCAACAGCCTGGTGGACCAAACTCTCACAAGTCAAGCCTGGCCTCGGGCCGGGCTTGGACAGTAGAACAACTCCCAGAACCCCATCAACCAGGTATATGTGGGCCTGCGGGCCGCTCCAAGCAACAGCCTGGTGGACCAAACTCTCACAAGTCGAGCCTGGCCTTGAGTCGGGCTTGGGCAGTAGAACAACTCCCAGAACCCCATCAACCAGGTATCAACCAGGTTAATGTATGACAACTTTAGGGATTTTGAAGACGTTCTGTCAAGATGATAGAGCTAACAAGATGGGGTACTGGTAATCGAAAGGTATACTACATGCAACGGTATACTATGATGCCCAAAAGGTATACTACATGCATCGGTATACTGTACCACGAGGCCCAAAAGGTATACTGTACTACATGCGGATGATGAGTCACAATAACGTGGCTGAAGATATGACCAAACCCCACATCAAAGGATGGAGGAACGACGACGTTTCAGTCCATGCTGGCCCATTATCAAATCGTGTGTGCATCGGGTATCAAGCCGGGTATACAACAGAAATAGCGGGATTAGTAGAGATAAAAATGGACAAGCACAGTGCACCTGTGTACACAGAAATGACAAGATATATCGGCTTCTAACTATATATATTGAGGTTTGGTAGAGCCAGCCAGTTTATGCCCACTGTAATAACATACAATAACTGTACAACAGTTTGCTGTTTTACTGGCTTTCAATGCCATTGTGTCCATGTCTCGGCTTTGGTCTCGGTGATTCTGGCAGGTCGGCCGAGCGGACAGCAGGCTGGACTTGTGATCCTGTGGTCTTGGGTTCGATCCCAGGCGCCGGTGAGAAACATTGGGCAGAGTTTCTTTCACCCTATGCCCCTGTTACCTAGCAGTAAAATAGGTACCTGGGTGTTAGTCAGCTGTCACGGGCTGCTTCCTGGGGGTGGAGGCCTGGTCGAGGACCGGGCCGCGGGGACACTAAAAAGCCCTGAAATCATCTCAAGATAACCTCAAGATAAGGTCTAAGCTTATTAATGTAATCCAAATTATATGGGGTCCACGCACATTCCAGTTAGCCTAACATTCTAGTTAGCCAAATTTTTACCTGGAATGTCAAAAAATTAAAACCACTGATGTATTTGTTTTTTTTTTTTGTTCAGCAAAAATTTTGGTAACTCAATTTTTTGAGTTGTCAAAAACTTGAACTTGAATTTATTCGGAGTACCCAAAGATTCAGGTTACTGGAATTCAAATTACCGAGCTCTTACAGTTCTTGTGATATTGGCCTCTTGTTTCTTTGTGAATCTTGAGGTTATCTTGAGATGATTTCGGGGCTTTAGTGTCCCGGCGGCCCGGTCCTCGATCCTGTGGTCCCGGGATCGAACCCGGGACCACAGGATCACAAGTCCAGCATGCTGTCGGCTCGGCCGACTGTCTCGAGTCCCTTGAATGTCCCTTGGCATGGGCATTTGGCTGCCATTCTTTACTCTGGGCCTCCCTTTCCTAACGTTCTTCTTTCACTGTTCAACCCAGTTTGAATTTGTTTTGTGGAAGAGCCAAACTCTTCTACCGACAAGACAAAATATCCTCGAGAAATAAAATTAGGAATAGAAAAAAATATCAGCCCAAGTTGGAACACAAAACAATGGAATCAAATTGAAGAAATTTAGATTTGGAAAAGAAATGGGTTAACAATGGTATGGAAATGTAGATCTGTGTAGGTTTGTAGATGTGTAGAACAAGCAGGGCGTGCCTTAGGAGCTGCAGGACCCAATTGGGAACGTTTTCACAGCCAGGTTCTATGAAAATTTTCACTGGCAGGTTCACAGCCAGGGTCTGTGTCAGTGAAAAGATTTATTCAAAATATTAATATTATTTTTGTTTTGAAAAACATTCAAAATGAAAGTGAACAAGATTGTTGGAAATTATTTTTGGGGGGTTTCTAAAAATAGACGTTTATTACAAAAAAACAAAGCATACTGTATTGTCTGACTCGTATCTGTATTTTATCATAACAAATTCATCAGACTCAATTGGAAGCCGTGGGTGCAATTGGCTTAAAGCCGGCCTTTGCCGAACAAGTTGCCAAGAAGCAGGCGATGAGTCACAATAACGTGGCTAAAGTATGTTGCCCAGACTACACACTAGAAGGTGAAGGGACGACGACGTTTCGGTCCGTCCTGGACCATTCTCAAGTCGATTGAGAATTATCAAATCGACTTGAGAATGGTCCAGGACGGACCGAAACCTCGTCGTCCCTTCACCTTCTAGTGTGTGGTCTGGTCATCAAGTTACCAAGAAATAAATCGACTGGAGAGCATAGTTGGAAATGCACAAGAGTAGCATGGGTTAGATAAACATAGGAGCTGCCGGCTTACTTGGCTCAATAGGCCTTTCCTGATTCTTTTATTATTATGATCTTATTTATTATCATTCCCTTCTTTCCCCTCTCTTCTCTTACACTATTCACTCCCCACCTTGTATTCCTCTGTATGATACTTTTATTGTAAAAGAATATTTACAGTTCTGGACATATTTTCCAGGTACCGGGCTCTAATGGAGAGAGCAATGAAACTCCAGCAAACAGTTACACTAACGTTAAGGCCCTGATCGATAACCCCAGCGGCAACAGGATTGATTATGTATTTTATCAAGCCTCTAAAACTCACAAGGTAAGGGACTTGGGAAACACACACAGAGATCACACTAACGTGATGCATCAAATGAACAAATCCACAAGGGCCGTGATGAGGATTCGAACCTGCGTCCGGGAGCATCCCAGACACTGCCTTAATCGACTGAGCTACGTGTCAGTCTACCTGAGCTACTTTTACCCTGTCGTAGCTCAGTCGATTAAGGCAGTGTCTGGGATGCTCCCGGACGCTGGTTCGAATCCTCGTCACGGCCCTTGTGGATTTGAACTTGGGAAAAGTGAAGTGAGAAGTATTATCTAGCCAGAACTGAAACTGTCGTGTCTACGCTGACCGTTGGACAAAGTCAGACAAGTCGATGATCTAGAATCCTCTCCAGGTATTGCTGCTGCTGCTGCTGTGTAAACTGGTTATCTGTATACTGTATTTCCTCCATCCCCTACGTTCTCGTTCTATTTGTCATGGAATGTGACTTGGTGTAGTTGAAAGGAAAGGGAGGGGGGGTGGTTATTGTAATATTGTGTTGCTTCCTGGTTGCAGACAGATACAGTAACCTAGTGGCTTGGTAGTTTGTTAGAGTGCTGCTTGGCTGTCTCTTTGATGCTAAGTTATGCCTGGAAAGGCTTTTGAGTTTATAAGGACACTGTCCATATTCTTTGCGGGATTGAGTATTCTCTAGTGTCTTCTTTTGGTACCAGTTTGATCCCAAGAGGAAAGTGAAGTGTTTTTCTCGGCTCCAGAGCGGAATGTTGACCTACACTATGCCATAACCTAACCAACAGGGAGCAACCAAGTCAGAACCCTGGAAACACAAACCGAAACTGTCTCTATTTTCCGCTTGTTACAACTTGTAATAAAGTTGTTAAATCTTGGCTTAATGTGTTTATGACGTATTAGAATGTTGTTACAACTTGTTATATTGGTTGTTATAACTGGTTAGGAGGTGTTAAAACTTGTTCGAACGTTGTACCAACGTCGTAGTTTCGGTGTGTGTTTGGCGGGAGAGCTCTGAAAGTGTGTTTACTGAGTACTTGTTTCCACCTTGTATTGCATACATTTATATATACTCAAAATATATATATATTGCAGTCTAATGATGGCTGTAACAAATATTTAATTACTGTGTAGTACCAATAATGTGCTATGCCAAGGTTTTCTGTAATATGTTAGAACATAATTTCCTGTGTGTGAGAGATTTAACTGTTCATTTGATACCTTTATATACAGTATATATGAAATAAAGTTTTAATCCCTATAGTACAGTAGTACCTGCTTGATGGGGTTCTGGGAGTTTGGTCCACCAGGCTGTTGCTTGGAGCGGCCCGCAGGCCCACATATACCTGGTTGATGGGGTTCTGGGAGTTGTTCTACTGCCCAAGCCCGGCCCGAGGCCAGGCTTGACTTGTGAGAGTTTGGTCCACCAGGCTGTTGCTTGGAGCGGCCCGCAGGCCCACATATACCTGGTTGATGGGGTTCTGGGAGTTGTTCTACTGCCCAAGCCCGGCCCGAGGCCAGGCTTGACTTGTGAGAGTTTGGTCCACCAGGCTGTTGCTTGGAGCGGCCCGCAGGCCCACATATACCTGGTTGATGGGGTTCTGGGAGTTGTTCTACTGCCCAAGCCCGGCCCGAAGCCAGGCTTGACTTGTGAGAGTTTGGTCCACCAGGCTGTTGCTTGGAGCGGCCCGCAGGCCCACATATACCTGGTTGATGGGGTTCTGGGAGTTGTTCTACTGCCCAAGCCCGGCCCGAGGCCAGGCTTGACTTGAGAGAGTTTGGTCCACCAGGCTGTTGCTTGGAGCGGCCCGCAGGCCCACATATACCTGGTTGATGGGGTTCTGGGAGTTGTTCTACTGCCCAAGCCCGGCCCGAGGCCAGGCTTGACTTGAGAGAGTTTGGTCCACCAGTAGTAGTAGTAGTAGTAGTAATAATAATATTTTATTTAGGAAAAGTACATACATAGATGCAGAGTTACAAACATACTGTTGGATTTAGAGATAAAGCTAGTACATACAATACCTAAAGACACTAATACGCATAACGTTTTGGGCAAGTCTGTAATCTCTTTAGTGTTTTGAAATTGGAGCGGGTGTAATAACCCTTCATTAAAACGCTAGGTTGAGGTAATGCTGAAGAGCACAGTACTAGTATTAACACTATTGAATATTTTCAATAAATAACAAGTTATCGGTAATTTTTGACACTGAAGCCTTAGCTTGAGGCTGGATACTACAGTACTGTGGAGTAAACAGGACTGTAAGATATAAGGAGCAGCAGGGCCACGGTGCAGGGAGTACCAGGGCCGTGGTGTGGAGAGTAACAGGTCCGTGGTGCGGGGGAGTAACAGGTCCGTGGTGCGGGGGAGTAACAGGTCCGTGGTGCGGGGGAGTAACAGGTCCGTGGTGCGGGGGAGTAACAGGTCCGTGGTGCGGGGAGTAACAGGTCCGTGGTGCGGGGGAGTAACAGGTCCGTGGTGCGGGGGAGTAACAGGTCCGTGGTGCGGGGGAGTAACAGGTCCGTGGTGCGGGGAGTAACAGGTCCGTGGTGCGGGGAGTAACAGGTCCGTGGTGCGGGGGAGTAACAGGTCCATGGTGCGGAGAGTACCAGGTCCGTGGTGCGGGGAGTAACAGGTCCGTGGTGCGGGGGAGTAACAGGTCCGTGGTGCGGAGAGTACCAGGGCCGTGGTGCGGGGAGTAACAGGTCCGTGGTGCGGGGGAGAGTAATAGGTCCGTGGTGCGGGGAGTAACAGGTCCGTGGTGCAGGGGAGAGTAATAGGTCCGTGGAATAACCATCGTACGGCTTCGATGTTTTATTCGTTGATTTAATTTGGATTTAATTATACATTTATTGGTTGTTCTTTTCAGGTTAAAACCAAAGTGTGTGATCAGCCTTGGCCACAGAGAGTTCCGCAGCAAGATTTCAGTTTCTCAGACCACGAGGCTGTTCGTTCTATTCTCACAATCACCCCTATCAAAGGTTAGTATGAAAACATCATTAATTCTTAGTATGAAAGCAATCGGTCCAGGATGGACCAAAACGTCGTCTCTTCATCTTCTGGTATGTGGTTTGGTCATCGTATCTTCAGCCACGTTATTGTGTCTCGTCGTCTGCATCATTAAACTCTGGGGCTCCTATTTATCCTTCAAAATTTGCATAGCACTTTAAGATGTTTGACCCTTGATGCACATGACGTCTTAAGATGTTTTATGTACTTTGCAACATTTAAAACTCCAGCTGGTACATAGTGTACCCAATCGGGATTTGAGGCCTCTAGTAAACATCTACCATCTTGAAAAGTGACTTATAATGTTTGGGACTTTTTCCCCCGTGTTCAGGGTGTGGTTTTAACAATACAGGAAGACTAAGAAACCTTATTATAAATTACTCATTTCCTGTGCATAAGCCAATAATGGTGCATATAATCATCATGCAGAGCAAAAATTAACCCTCCAAGTGTGTTGACCAGACCACACACTAGAAGGTGAAGAGACGACGACGTTTCGGTCCGTCCTGGACCATTCTCAAGTCGATTGTGAATGGTCCACGACGGACCGAAACGTTGTCGTCCCTTCACCTTCTAGTGTGTGGTCTGGTCAACGTAATTTAGCCACGTTATTGTGACTCATCGCCTACATATGGCCTCCAAGTGTGGTTGTCATGTGTAGATCATTTAGTGCGATGCAGTCACCATCAAATGCAGATCTATGGCTTATGTCAATGTTTGAACATCATTGTTGCTCATATGACTCGAGTAGCTTTGATTTGGTGTCTTTCAGAAGTCATGGAAGCCACAAAGGGATGTGGAGTCAGATAGGCTTCAGCTCCTGGCCCCCCCCTATCTATCGACATGACAATGACTGCAATTATCTGGCCAACATAAAGATATGAACTATATATTGATTTTGGTATGACTTTGGCTTTTGCGTGCAGTTATGTTTGTGAGGGGATTGAAATTGAAATTGAAATTGAAATAAGTTTATTGAGGTAAAATACACACAAAGGGATGAGGTAGCTCAAGCTATTCTCACCCCGTTCAGTACATCGTGTTAATACATACATAGACACACATCACAAACAATAAACCTGTTACCAAACATTCTGAGAGATAAACATGTACATTTCCTCCTTCACAAGTAGTATGGTATCAGACGTACACACAAATTTGAGGGGATGGTGTTGTTCCAGCTCCTAACAAACTTATATACAGTACTGTAAGTGTTTGTTACACACAGTATGTATGTATGTATGCATGTATATAAGTCCATATATTATGTGACCGGTTTTCATTTTTGCAGAGGATGAGACGACAGAATCGATCACAGAGGTCCAGGCCCAAACTGACGCTCTGCTGGAGAGTTCGGCTGTGTGCGAGCAGGGCCTGAAGAAAGTGGCGATCAGTCGCAGGTTCTACATCACTCTGGCCATTCTTGTCACTGTTTTACAGCTGGGCTACCTTGTTGTGTTGTCTCTGGAGACGTCTCCAGGATTACGCATCTCTCTCGGCATATTGTCAATGATTTTAATGATCTTTCTTGTGTATTTCCTCTTTATGGGAACAGTTTTTTATCATATAGAATATAATGGGGTGAAGTCAACTAGACAGGCAATTAAATGTCATCTTGAAATGCTAACCGTGAAAAATGCTCAGATTTTTGAAGAGGAAAGAAAAAGGTCTGTATCATTCATAAAATGACTATCAATGTTCAAGCATGATAAATCACAGTGATATTACCGAGCTCAAAAGTAGTTCATTAGATGTGAATCAGCCTAAACCTTCTCCCGCAAGGTAGCACGTGCGACAATAATGAAGTGATAACAGTCTGAATGCTTGCTCATTTGGTCTACAATAATATAATTTTGTATCAACTTGTCCTTAGCTTCGTTAGGCCCCACTACAGTGTATTTTGTACCTCACTCCGAGCTTGGTTTTTTCCACCGACATAGGCAAGACTGTGATTGCTATTCTAGTTCAGTAATGTAAATATTGGGCTCTATTTTTGTAGCACCTAGTGTTAAGAACTCTTCTCGGTGTGTCGCAGTACTTGAGCAGCTTATGTTATAAAGACGGCACTTTTGTTTGTGGTTTGTCGACCGTTTCGCAAAATGTGCATAGATCGGCAATAAATATCACGGTATTGGTACAGTCACATGAAGAGGCCGATGTGCTATTCAGGACGTAAGATGCATAATATATGTATACAGTATTTAATTTAAACAAATGGAAAAGGTGGATTGTATAAATTATGTATAGCACACAATAGCTCTTTTTTATATATTGGAAGCATAGTGCTTCATAGATGGAAAATAAGTGATTGTATATTTTTATTGAATTATATACGGAAATGAATAGCAGAAAGTTTATTTTTGGGTAACTAAATCAAGTTGCCAAGTACCTTTAATATCATTAACTCTCTCTTTTCCTGTACAGTATTACTCTCTTGTTTCCAGGCAAATGCCTTTCCCCACCACTCAACAGTGGAAGACGAAATAACAGCGATATGACGTAAACGAAGTAACAATGACAATTTAAGAATAACTATGTACTTGGGGTCAACATTTATGTTGTAGGTGTACGCGCAAAGTTGTGAATGTGTTCTAATGCATTGCACCCATTGTTTTCTTTACGTACACTGTTTGTGAGGATTTTTCTTTAAAGAGAGAGGCCAAACAGGATACCGATTTGTAGCACCATCTCGGCTTTTCAAACTTCTTTAGTAAAGTCTTTTTTGACAAATAACCACATTAATACCGAAGGATATTATCTCAATGTTGCTGGCGATAATTCCCAACACTGATTTTGACACGTATGGTCGTATTGTTGAATGTTTCTTCTTCAGTTAGACCTAAAGTTATTTAAAGTAACACATTGTGATATAACGTGGCGTCAAAAACTATTTCCAGGATGGCTCTCCGAGGATCCACCAGAAAGTGGCATTTCACTACATTCAACGCTGGATTTCAGTGTTTCCAAACATGAAAAGTACAGTTCTGGTACAGCGTAGGTGTTAAACATTTGTAGCGTACAGTTTATAGCACGACACCCGCTTTCATTCACTCTTATATTGCCAGGCTGTATACAGTACTTTCACTTTAACTAACGATGAAGATTTGTAGATTACAGCCTGTAGTGCTCACTTGGTAGTTTTATTCACATATTAAATTAGTAGAATGTATGTTGTCATTTTATTAGCCAATTCCTAAATGTTAAATGCTGTTGATGTTCATCGTACTGGGCAAGCATTCTCTCGTATATTATTAATTCCTGTGAATAGATAATTTTAAGGGTCCGTGAGATTTTATTCCAAACCAAGTGTAGACAGCACTATCTTGATTATATTGGCCTCATTTTCTTTGCATCTATGTAACCATATTCACAAAAACATGTTCCGATAAATATTTACCTGAGGGGCCACTAATACTAGTGACCTTGACGAGAACAGGAAGCCGGGGGCTTGTCAAAGGTCCCTCTCCCATTTGCCCTGATTTTTTCGAGCTCTTTTTTTTTCCAAATGATCTGATGGGTGTTCGATTGTGCTAACTGAGCAATGAGCTCTATCCATATGCAACACTGATCACAAACAATGATCAAAGAATGCAGAATAACTGTTTCGTTTCTCATTTCATACCTTTTATTTTTCAATGTGGTTATTGTGCACTGTATCATACGTATATATATATATATATATATATATATATATATATATATATATATATATATATATATATATATATGTATGTATGTATGTATGTATGTATGTATGTATGTATGTATGTATGTATATGTATGTATGTATGTATGTATGTATAGTGGGTTGCATCTGTACAGATTTTGGCGATTGGTACGTTCTTGCAAAGCTGCTAACACGAAGAGCGTTTTTGGGCAATGATTGCAGAGACTAGAATTTCTCTAATGGGTTTTTGTATATGAAAAAATTTATAATTTGAATTAACATTTATAAGTGTGAAGATGATGGTAAAAAGACCTCACTAAATGTATTCTTTAACTGTAACCACGTTTTGCTCTTTTTGTAATAAGGTCGTTTGAAAACCCCAACAAAAATGCCCCTGTGAATTTAACACATTGTACGTATACAGAAATTGATATTTCTTTTCTCATATATATATATATATATATATATATATATATATATATATATGGTTTATTGTATCAAATTGTGCAATTGTTAGCAATCATATGGACTTAATTAGACCATGTTTAGTGTCATGTTGTGGATGTAAACATGTACAGTACTCTACTGTAGTTTGAAAATTGTGCGATTTGAATGTGTTAATAATGTGACAGACACACACACACACACATACATGTGTAGCATAACAAATTAATAATGGTTAAAGGCGCAGTGTGAAATTTGACTACGTTTTTCAGCATTCTGGTCTAGTGTCCTCCTCATGTACAGCTTGCAAACTAGGTAAAAGATAAAGTTAATAACATTTTCAATATAGTACAGTACTAAAATAAAAATATATATATAAATATATTACAGAAATGCATTTACTAAATCTGGGTTTCATTGCAACACTTACGATGAATTCAGATTAAGCAGTAAAACAGTCCTATTAGTCCCCTGTTGCAAGTCACTCCTTTTGTTTTGTTTCGTATATTATAGCTTTTAATGACTGACCAAACGTAATATATAATATACACATAATATTTCTCCTCTTGTGTACAGTATACAAATATGTATTTAATATTTTGTTTTGTAAGTACTAGAGTTAAGCCTTCATACAATATACTTGCTGTTACCTACATAAATACTATAGCTGTGTGTTGTTAGTATTCTTGAACGGAATAATGTTGTGTTAAGAGGTACTGTTGCACGGTGGTTCGTGCTGCTGGTCCACAACTGTGAGAGGCCTCCAGTTTGATTTCCATGGCGGGGCGGAGGTCTTAGGGGTCCCTCTCTCTTTTCTCCTGTTACCTCCGTTCACCTAGCAGTTGAATAGGTACCTGGGAGTTTGGCACCGGTTGGCCAAGGCGAATTTTGATGAGCCAAGCAGGCTACTTCTTCCTGACAATATGATGCCAAAACTGCTATTTGGCCCATTTATTTACATTGAGAATATCCACTGGTACTATAGGTGGGCGCAAACCTACGACCCCGGCACTGTCAGTCGCAGTAGTGGGTGTAAGTTCGCATCCGCCTATAGTCCCAGTGGAATTTCTCGTTTATATATATCACGGTAATGTGATATGTACGTGTGTATATATTCAATGTTGCACTGAAATTGGTTTCGGGCATTGTATATATGTAATAATGTCTATGCAGAAAAGACTGGTGATGGTATACTGTCTTAGGAGAGAAATGGCTTCATTTATTCAGGATGCATTTTTGGTCATTTTTGTTATTGTGGTAAGCAAACCAACGTACAGTGTGACACACACATTCCCACTCATCCTTGTCATGGTTTAATATGGGTCCAGGATGGGCCAAAATATCTATCCCTCCACGTTATTTCCAACGTGTGTGTGTCGGGTGTTTTGTCTCGGCCATGTTATTGTGAATTATTCTCTGCATTATTGTCATAATTTTATAAGACATGTTTAGGTGAAATAAGAGCATTCCGTTTTGACGTTATTGTTCGTCTAGCTTCTCTTTGAGGGTTTGTTAGGGGCCTTCATTATAATTGTTTCATTATGTGGATTAATGGAAAGAGTATAGGCCTAGTCAGATAATAATCATATGAAACTGTGTTCAAATACATTCTTTTTAACACTTTAATGTTGCGACCGCTCCGTGCGTGAAATGTTCGGAGCATCTCAAGGTCCTGCATAGTGATGCCTAACATGTTTACACATTTTGAATTTTCTTATTTTGTGGATTATAGCTATAAATTGTCAAAAGTTTTGTAGATGAATTTGTTAAATTTTAGATGCAGTAAAAAGTGTATTGATGATAGATTATGTTCTGGCGCTGAATATATGAATGTTCTTGAACATTTCAACATTCCTCATACAGTATTGTATATATGTGAAATTATATACAGTATCAACATTCCTCATTTATTTTTCAACATAAACAAAAATTTGAAATGTATACACATGGTCTGTCTATGTTGCTGTAAAAGGAAATCAAACATAACTTTCGTACTTTTTTAGTAGGCAATATGCAAAGCACTTAATTATTGGCTTGAGTGAATGTCGCTGATCAAGGTCATCTCTGGATGGTTCCTTAATACGTGTACTAATGTTTGGTCTTCTGATAAGTTCTACCCACAATGTAAAAAAAAAAAAACGAGATTGGAACGTGTTTTAGCATTATTATTACTGTCAAAGTGCCGGTGACACGCTTTGACGTCACCAAATCACTAAAGTATTGATATACATAAATTTATTGCTGCCACTTTTCCATAAATTTGGAAATGCTAAATATTACTTGTCATCACTAAATGTAAATGGAATAAGCCATCAAATTTGGTAATGATTCCCAGAACAAAAAAATCCGAAGTTAAGCTTTGTGCTTTGTATATGATAAATAATTGCTCAATATGACATCTTTGATCGAAATGATGACCAAATCACGCATCAGAAAAAGAAGAAACGAAGGTGTTTCAGTCCATCCTGGACCATTATCAAAATTATTACCAGGATGGTTCAAAAGAACATAGATTCTTCATGATGACAAAACCACACACTAGAATATGAAGGGACGACGATGTTTCGGTCCGTCCTGGACCATTCTCAAGTCGACAATCGACTTGAGAATGGTCCAGGACGGACCGAAACGTCGTCGTCCCTTCATATTCTAATGTGTGGTCTTGTCATCATACTTTAGCCACGTTATTGTGACTCATCGCCTGCATAGATTCTTCGTTTTTTGCGGTGTGGATTGGTCGTCATATTTTCTGCCACGTTATTGAGACTCATCATCTGCTCTTAGATTAAAAGCATTTCAGTACTTGAGTAAATCTGAGCTCATACTGCAATATTATCAAGCGTGTAGCATTGAGGGCACTGAAGTCAAAATGTTAATGTATTCTTTGTATTACTGTTTGGTTTGGTTCATTGAGAAGCTTCAGGTGCAAAGAGGGTTAGTTTAGTCGAAGTCCTTGATTGGAAATATTGTTTTTCTCCACTGTTCTTTGGTGAATCCGATATCTTATACGTTGCTTGTCTTGTGTCTCTCTGCTCTCATATTGATATCTTGCATCTTTTTGCTCTCGTGTTGATACCCTGTGTCTTTTTGCTGCCGAGTTGAGAGCTTAAGTAATTTATATATTGGAATATTTATATAATTTGAGCTACAGCAAGCCAGTTCGCTTGATTTGCCATTATGTCAAAAATCCATACTTTTATCCTAACCCAAGTAACCCATCTAAGCTACTCTATCGAGTCCAATACATAGACAAACATGAATATCTGTGAATAAATCCACAAGGGCCATGACGAGGATCATCCCAGACGTAAGTTCGAACCCTCATCGCGGCCCTTGTGGAATTACTCATTTGATATAATCACGCTGTTGTGATTTCTGTGTGTAATGAATTTTTGTTAGCTGACCAGACCACACACTAGAAGGTGAAGGGACAACGACGTTTCGGTTCGTCCTGGACCATTCTCAAGTCGATTGCGACCGAAGTCGGTCGCAATTGACTTGAGAATGGTCCAGGACGGACCGAAACGTCGTCGTCTCTTCACGTTCTAGTGTGTGGTCTGGTCAACATACTTTAGCCACGTTATTGTGACTCATCGCCTGCAATTTTTGTTAGCTGTTTTTGTTTTTTTAAAGGGTTGCATTTGTAATGTTGGTTACCATGATGTTAAAAAAAGTGAGCTGTTAGTCAAGAGGACGGGTTGACTATTGAAGGTTTCAACTTTTCTTCCAAACCTGGCGCCTCCTTCTGAAAATTACTCATGTGTTGTTCTTACCTTGTGATAATTACTTGTGATTTCTTTTGATAATTACTTACTCTAGAGCCTTAAAAAAAGATGGAGTAGTAGAATCTTTTTAGTCACCATAGACAATAATAATTCCAGCCATGCCTGGTAATTTAGCTAAGTTTTAATACAATTAATACAATTTTCTCATTGTATTATACATAATACAAATTTTCAAATTGTATTATGAAGTGCTGTGGGTACTGTCTCGGTAATTCGAAGGGAGTCGCTTCCAAGAATGTTTGAGCACCTGGTGTGTTGGGCTCTTACCATACTCTTCATGCTTTGGTTGTGTGTGATGCCCCCGCACTGCCAAATGTTTAATGTACTTCCCTAGTTGTGCTTGCGGGGGTTGAGCTGTGGCTCTTTGGTCCAGCCCAATCCAGTGTGTTCGGTTCTTCATGTGTGCATGGAACTTTTTGTGTGTGTATTTTGGTGGATCTGATACCTTTGACATTGATAAGCTCTTTCCTTTCCGAATTTGCATCTAAACCTGCCTTTCAGCCCATTGTCTTGATTTACAGTGTACAAAATAACGGTTATTCAAATGCACAAACCCAAGCCACACACACACACACACACACCTAATTTAAGCAACCTGTGCATAGGAAATGAGGATATTTGTGAGCTGCTACTTGTCATAGTAGCCCTTATTTTGAACGTTTGGGGACCATAGTGTACAAAATGTGGCACGTTAGTTGAAAGCACA